GCACTAGAAAATAGGTGAAACGTGCTAAGTCTATGAATCAAATGTAGAACATTGCAAAGGGTTTACCTCCGTAAGATGGATTCTGAACAGCCTTATACATATCTATTGGTCCCATTTATCACCTATTTTACAGCATTTCAATTTAGCTCCAAACCCTTCACTGAAAAGCATTTTACATCTATGTTGTGTCATCTGTACTATTATTTGTCTGTTTGTCTTTTTATTTTTGGCCATGGCGTTGTCAGTTTGTTTTCGATCTATGAGTTAACTGTCCCTCTGGTATCTTTCGTCCCTCTTTTACAGCATTTATTGTTTTTGTCACATCTTTCTTATATTTAATCAGTTGATCATTTATAATTGCAAGAAATATGGAAATTATGATTATATTGTATATCAAGTGTAGTCTATGTCGAAAAAAGGGTGTTTCATGTTAAATTTATATCTATATACAGTTGACGGCACTGTATTCACGTATTAGTGAACTACTCTTGACACTATGACACAACTGAAGTGCTCCTCATAAAAGACTTGTAACAAATTGTAAAATAATATATGATGCATTAATCTCCATAAAACATATTACTTTGTTTGCACATTCTTCTGTCTCTTCGTAGACCAAATTGTATATCATGACTGTAAACACGGTTCTGTAGGAAGATGAATAAATAAATGAGGGAATTAATATATTTAACTAAGCGTTTTGAGAGATATCATAGGTTCTCATTCGTTAAAGCAATAGTCAATGGCTTTCCATTAAATAGTAAAAAAAAATGTGCTAATCGTTTAAACTGGATCAATGAATTGTGTACAAATCCTTAACTTGATCAACAAAATTATGAAGTTTTTTTGGATGTTAAGTGACAGTATGTCATTTCATAATATAAAATCAAATTTTATTTTAAAAAAAGGCAGATATAGTGTTGGCCTTTCCAAACCAATATATTTCAACTGAAAGTGTATTTTGATAAAAAGCTTAATTGTCACAAAAAATAGGTTGACTATGTTTCACAAAATCGTTTATATTTTTAACCCAAATTTTTCAAGACTTTTGAGATGTTTTACTTCTTATTTGACCCTTTACACAATCGAGTGAAAAACTGACAACTATTGAAAACCTTGATCTTGTCATAAGAAATTAAATCTATGTTGTAAAAGGTGTTTTATTTTATCAAAATTTTGAGGCTTAACTAGGGAATTAAAAAAAAAAAAAAAAAAAAAACTGTGATAAGGTAACGTTGGTCTTTAAGATTCAAATTAATAACCTTTGGTTTCAGATGTCCTTTGATCCAAAATTTAACATATCATGAATAATTCAGTTGTAACTGTAAATCAAAATGGTCCAACAGCAAAGTATAAATATGAATAAAGTTTACCCCTTGGTAAATTTGATTTTTTAAGCTTGCTCGATGATATATTATAATTTGTTGTCTTTGGCTATAACTTTTAAATATGTATCGCCCCATAGGCTTGAGCTTCCAGTGGTGCTATTGTATAACATGAGCTTGGATATTTGAGAGTGAACAATATACCTAAACGCTGATGGTATCATCGGCCTAGTAGCCAGTGCTTTAGTATTGACATGATTCAAATGAAATATTTAGTCTGTATTGAAATGCAATATGTTGTTGAGATATGTCTGTTATAGTGTTCATTTTTAGTTAGAACATCAGTGGGTTATAAGCTCATGTTTATGCATGATTATATGACTATCCGACTTTAAATAAAGATTACATACTTATTTTACTTTTAATGTAACAGACTTGATAAATTTGTGACACCTAATTCCCAAAATGACAAAAAAAAATCCATTAAGATATAACTAAAGACAACCACTTGGGAATTAGGTGTCACAATTTTTATAGACTCTGCACAATTTAGAGCTTGACCTATTGTATTAGATATTTGTCTATCCTTGAATAGCTTACTATGTTGACCTAGATTTCTTCCCAGTTGTTGTTGTTTTGTGTTGATGGGTTGCTACCTCATTGACTGATACAACATATCTCCATTAGTTCATACTTGAAATCTAGCTGTATTTAATAAAATGAAGAAGATAAGGGGAGGGGAATCAACATCCATAGGCAAAAGTGAGAGAGACACCGCCACTGTGGTCAAATGACAAGACATGAAAAGAATCCGTATAGATTGAGCAACATGAACTCAACTTTAATCGGGGGTATACCAATTCTATATCTGTCAATCAATAATGGATAAAAATAATTGATAAAATCATGCAATGGAAATGAGTGTTAGAGGGCAAGCACACAAGCAACTTTCCAAGTAGGATAGCATCTCTCTGAAGTTCTATCTTTAATTACCAAGTTGAAGAAATTTAATTGCAACATGAACTGGTCAATATAACAATGAACTTTCAAAGGCAGTGGCAATAATGGGGATAGTTTTGTAACAGATGCTGGCAAAGGATTGTTGGTTGTAGGGAAGAAAGACGTTGTTACCATATCAACCCAAAAATTATTTTGATATAAGACCACTGGTAACCATGGTTATCACAACTGTAGCAGACAATGAAACCATTCCACCAATAACAAATGGAAAAGGGAAAACAAGATGACCGTTTAATTTTTTTATCATCAAAACTAATCTTATCAAAACGACTATTTTTAAGAACAATGCATATAAGATGTTATAATAAAATAATTTTGACCACTTTAATTTACTTAATAAAATTAATGGCTTTGGAGAACAGCTTCCAATTATAATATTATGAAAGATTGTGCAGAATTTGCATCCATCTCTAAAAGGTGCATGCTGGCCACCTTTTCAACATGTCAAGGTGATTCTGTGAATTTTTCAAGTCATTGATTTGGCATTATAACAAGAAATTATTAAATTGTCCAATCAATACCAAATAAAGGCAATGTCATTTATCTGATTGGGGGATTACAGAAATCTTTGAAAAGAGTATTACATCCCTTTTCTATTAACTCTGAATGAACCTAGAATCAAGTAAGAAATTTCTTCAACAGTTTCATTCATGCCAACTGAATTCATGAATTCAAGTAAAACTGTTGCCTGAATTGTGGTTTAAGAATGTGCATTCTTCCTTTTCTCATGATTACATTTCATCACAATGTTGTTATTTTTAAGAAAATTTATGACAATGTTTAAGGTCAGCAAACATGTGCAATTGGTGTTTGTCACACAAGAAAGATGTGGTAGGAATTTCTGATTTAACTCTAATCCTTTCTGAAGAAATAAATGTGTGAAATCCTGTAACGACACATAGAAATTAAATCAGGAAAATATTAGTATTACAATACATAATTTGGCTGACCTGCATCCCCTTATTCAGATGAGCTCCAGACCAAAAGTTTAGAAACAATATCCATAAAGCATTTTGGAGCTTAAGCCAGAGAGGCTAAAAATGACATTGCTTTAAAAAATGTGTAAAAAATTTATTTTGAAACCTTATTTAAAGTAACTATTATGAAAAGAAGGACTAAATATTAAACCGACAAAGGCAATATCAACAATAGCATTCTCATAAATGCATAATGGCATAATTTTACTAATGCAATGTGCCAAAACTTATAGCATTTGCAATAATTTTCGGTGTTTTTCCAATATAGACAGCAGGTTAACAGCTTATCAGTAACAAGCCTTTAAGCTTGAGTTTCAAATCTTTTTGAAAAACGCACCATCTGAAATGAAAAACATTCATTATTAACAATAAACTCCAAGGGGTATTAAAGATATAGATTAGAAGGGACAAAACTAATGACCACAGACCTTTTGTGGGAAACTTTTGACAAAGTTTGTGAGTTTCACCTTCAGGCTAAGGGTTCAAATCATTTGTCTGACAAAAACCTTTCCAGTAGGGATGAACACTCGTACCAAGTATCATTAATTAACTCCAAGGGGTAGGCAAGATATAGAGCAGACATGATTTGAAGGATGGATGGACAAAGAATCTCATCACTAAGGGGCAATCCCCATTGATGGAGGGGCTCTAATTATCCCTCAGTTAAACATATATAAACATAATAAGAAAACAGATAACGTGACAATAACGGAATTCAAAGGAACAACATTTTCATAATGTAATCTTGTTTAATAGAGAATGTATAATGCATCAAACCTATACAAAAATATCCTAGACAACTTGCTCCACTAACAATGATCATTTTTGTGATTGGGTTAAAGAACTGCTTTTTCACATAGACGGGCAGTTTCATGTAGGTCATATTTTTTGGTAGAGGACATCTAAGTGTACCTAGGGTAAAAATACTGACTTGAAAGTCAATGACAACCTCCTCAACTATTCATTTTTTTTGGCTTTGAAATGTTTGGGCTTGAGCAATCCTGTTGAAGGTAAACTCAAGAAGGTGCTTATGAAGAAAAAACAATTATAAATGTTTTCATATTTTACATTATATACCTGGAAATACAGAGCAATTTTCTTTTTACACAACAAATGGACGATTCAAATGTCAACAGTAGAGATGAATGGTAAGTGGCTAAAATCACCAGAGTTGGTTATGTTGAGTTTAATTCAAATTAAGTTCTGAGTTTTTTTTAACTCATATATATATGAGTAGACAGAACACATATATATATGAATTCAATATGCTGGAGGGAATGCTTTATAATTTAACCTGTGTAAACCAAACACCTGTCTATTTCAAACATAACCATCAGTCTAAAAATGAATACCTTTAGACGTTAAACTTTTTTTAATTTTCAAATGACAGGTATTTTAGTGTATATTTCTCAAAATATTTAAAATGAAACTAAATAAGATTCTATCCATAACAAATCTTTAGTGATGCTAAGACATGTTAATTACAGCATCACGTAATTGTAGGAACAAACAGATGATGTTCTCATGAAGTTTCCTGAATCATTTCAGAAATTCTTCCCCTAAAGAAGAGATAATCAAACAGGGATAGGTAGATGACAATCCTCTACCTGGAACAGTCCCTTGAAAAATACCTGGAACAGTCCCATGAAAAATAAATCTAAGAAAGTAAAGATGTTCAGACAATAATGACATAATTTAATAGCACTATGAACAGTGATCTCTCAACAACCCATTCACCCCCTCAATAAATTCATATGCATAATGATAATTATAAATAAATCAAATTTATTTTCATCGTTTTCTAACGTTCTCTGGTGAGTAGCTTCTTTTTCGATGTCTTTCCTCTCGTTGGTCACGTTTACTGTCCCTTCTTTCATTGTCTTGATGTTTATCCTTTTTCCTCTTTTCTGGAGAATTTTCACTTCTCTTATTTTTATGAGAGTTACCCTTCTTTGATTTGATAACATTGTTTTCACTGTTTGTTTTTTGTCTCGACCATGGATCACTAAAATCCATTTTATCGTCCCTTTCTTTATCACTTTTACGATAACCATCTTTATTTTCTTTGCCCCGTCTTTTACTTGTTTCTGACGATCGTTTATCCTTATGTTGTTCTTCAATATCCCCATTAGTCTTCCTTCCTCTTCTTTTATCCTCAACTTTTTTCCGATGTTTTGCTGAGGTCTTCTTTTTCTTGGACTGTTCATCTGATGAACTTCCTAAAATTTGAGTGAAATTTATTATAGATATCATACAACACAAAACTAAACAAGAATATATGTCATAGCACATGCTCGCATTATCACATTTTCGTGTTCGGTGAACTGTAAAGTTAGAGTCAAAAGTACAATTCGGCATATGATTTAAAAAGTTAACATCATATTCATAATGAGCATGTGTACCCAAGTTTGGCTGAAATTGATTCAGCAGTTTCAAAGGAGAAGATTTTTTAAAGTAAGCAAACTAGATGACATTGTGAAAAATTGTCTTTAAAGGGCACTAACTCCTTAAGGGGTCAATTGACAATTTTGGTAATATTAAACTTATTTGTAGATCTTACTTTGCTGAACATTTTTGCTGTTTACAGTTTATCTTTATCCATAATAATAATCAAGATAACCACCGAAAACTGCAAAATTTCCTTAAAATCATCAATTCAGGGGCAATAACCTAAAAATCAGATACCCGATTAGGCTGATAATTTCAGGGCAGGTCGACCTTGACCTAATGAATACTTTAACTTCTTGGCTGATTTGCTCTAAATGCTTTAGTTTTTGAGATATAAGTCAAAAACTGCATTTTACCCTATGTTCTATTTTTAGCCATGGTGGCCATGTTTTCTGCGGAAACAGAAAATAAAACATAAACTTTATTAAAGATAAACTAAGAATATTTCAGCTTAAGTTTGGTTTAATTTGGTTCAGTTGTTTCAGAGGGGAAGATTTTTTAAAATTAGAAAAACATGATAAACAAATTATGTAAAATTGTCCTTAAAGGACAATAAATCCTTAAGGGGTCAATTGACAATTTTGGTCATGTTGACTTATTTGTAGATCTGACTTTGCTGAACATTTTTTGCTGTTTAGTTTATCTTTATCTATAATAATATTCAAGATAATAACCAATAAAATGCTCTGCTGGGCACAGCTTGATACAACCGCAGCGGACGAACCCTGAACAGTTGGGGCAAGTATGGACACAACATTCAAGCTTGATACAGCACTGAATTTGGATTGTGATTAAATATTTGACACAGCATAGGTTTCTGACACAGAATGAATGTGGTCTAAGAACTTAAACAAATTTAATTTACCTATTCAAACCATATCATTATTATTTGCTTTTATATATAAATCAGAAATAACCAATTTAAAATGGAAAATTTTAAAGAAAAAAAGGAAAAAAAATCCCCCCCCCCTAATTTTTTGAACCCCCTTATGATTCATCACCCCCAAACTCAATCCCAGCCTTCCCTTTGAGGTATGGTACCTTGCAGTACAATTTCAGAGAGATCCATACACTTGAACACAAGTTATTGTCTGGAAACTAGAAAAATGCTTGTTTTTTGGCCCCAAATTCCTACACATTTAGGGCAATTACCCCCAAACTCAAACCCAGCTTTCCCTTTGTGATATGGAACCTTGTACTACAATTTCATAAAGATCCATACACTTACACACAAGTTATTGTCCTGAAACTAGAAAAATGCTTGTTTTTTGGCCCCTAATTCCTAAAATTTTGAGGCAATTACCCCCAAAATCAATCCCAGCCTTCCCTTTGTGGTATGGTACCTTGCAGTACAATTTCAGAGAGATCCATACACTTGAACACAAGTTATTGTCTGGAAACTAGAACAATGCTTATTTTTGGCCCCTTTTTGCTGAACATTTTGGGCAATTACCCCCTAACTCAATTCCAGCTTTCCCTTTCTGATATGGAACCTTGTAGTACAATTTCAGAAAGATCCATAGACTTACACACAAGTTATTGTCATGAAACTAGAAAAATGCTTGTTTTCTGTCCCTTTTTTGGCCCCTAATTCCTATAATTTTGAGGCAATTACCCCCAAAATCAATCCAAGTATTCCCTTTGTAATATAGAACCTTGTGGTACAATGTCAGAGTTATCCATACACTAACACACAAGTTATGTCTGGAAGTTACAAAAATGCTTATTTTTGGCCCCTAATTCCTTAACTGTTGGTACCATAACCCCCAAAATCGATCCCAACCTTCCTTTTGTGGTATTGAACCTTATGGTAAAATTTTATAGAGATCCATTCACTTAAACTAAAGTTAGAGTGCGAAAACCAATGTGTCTTCGGACGCCGACGCCGCCAACGTCATACCAATATACGACCACAAAATTTTTTTGCGGTCGTATAAAAACTGCAAAATTTCCTTAAAATTACCAATTTAGTGGCAGCAACCAAACAATGGGTTGTTAGATTCATCTGAAAATTTCAGGGCTGATAGAACTTCACCTAATGAACATTTTTACCCCCATGGCAGATTTGCTCTAAATGCTTTAGTTTTTGAGATACAAGCCAAATACTGCATTTTACCCCTACATTCTATTTTTAGCCATGGCGGCCATGTTTTTTGACGAAACAGAAAATAAACATAAACTTTATTCTAGATACCCTAAGGATCATTCAGCTTAAGTTTGGTTGGAATTGGTTCAGTAGTTTCAGAGGAGAAGATGTTTGAAATAGTTTACAACAGACGGACGACAACGACGGACGCCAAGTGATGGCAAAAGCTCACATTTACTTTGGAAAGGTGAGCTAAAAAAGGACACTCATGTCAATTAATAAACAGAAGAAAAACATGTAGAAATTTCAAGGATTATATTTTTTGGAAAACAAACTGTACTGTGAATTACTGCGTAATATTTTATTGTTAACTAAATGTGATGAACATTTTATGTGTTTGCATGATATTTAGAAGAATTGACATTACCTGAACTAGAATCAGAATCAGAACTACTGCTGTCTGAGGATGATGATTCATCTGATGATGAAGAAGATGATGAGGACGATGATGAAGATGAACTGTCAGAATCCTCTGCTGCTTGTTGTTCAACTGCTGGTTTCTGGACATTTTTCAAACATTCTCGTAAATCATCCCTGCAAACAATGATAATAATATAAGTTAAGCTTAATATACAAATAGATTATTTAATTTACCTAATAAAAAAATTGATACAGATTCGAAAACAAGACCATTAGCTTCCAATATTACAAGTTGATTAAAATAACAGAGTTCCAATGTCCCTCCTTTGCACATATTTTTCTGTCCAAGGGCAATAACAAACAAATTTTTTTGTTCTTTAATATTTTTATTTATTTCTTAGAGAAATGAAGGCTCGAGAGCTCTGACAATGCAATTTTTCAAAAAAATTCCAATGGGTATAACTCTTTTAAATACAGTTGATCGGCACTGATTTTTATATATGTCCAATACATTGCTGATATACACCTTTCACATAAATTTTACATATAAGAGCGCTTACAAGACTTGAGAGACGAACACCTCGTATCTCTATGTCCCCTGCAACGCATGACACAGGGACAACAAACTAGTGATATCTCGGCAAATATAAGCCCCTTAAGACACTTCTGTGCAGGTGACAACAATAAGAGGTTGGTTCTATAAAACTTTACTCTAGTCCTTTATATTAATGAATATAAATTCTTATTCTGTTGAAACATTAATCTTTATTGATCTCAATAGCATAGTTAAAAAAAAATAAAATGCTTCGCTGGGGCGCAGCTTGATACGACCGCAGAGGTCGAACCCTGAACAGTTGGGGCAAGTATGGACACAACATTCAAGCTTGATACAGCTCTGAATTTGGATTGTTATTAAATATTTGACACAGCATAGGTTTCTGACACAGAAAGAATGTGGTCTAAGAACTTGATTTTTTTTAATTTACCTATTATGGTCCAATGTCCAAAATCAAAATACATGGTTAGATTCAGCATATCAAAGAACCCCATATATTCAATTTTTGTTAAAATCAAACAAAGTTTAATTTTGGACCCCAACTTGGACAAACTTGAAAACTGGGCCCATAATTAAAAATCTAAACACATGTTTAGATTCAGCATATCAAAGAACCCCAAGAATTCAATTTTTGCTAAAATCAAACTAAGTTTAATTTTGGACCCTTTGGACCTTAATGTAGACCAATTTAAAAAACGGGACCCAAATTATATATCTAAAAACACCGTTAGATTTGGCATATCGAAGAACCCCAATAATTAAATTTTTGATGAAATCAAACAAAGTTTAATTTTGGACCCTTTTGACCTCAATATGAACCAATTTGATAGCGGGGCCCACAAATAAAAATCTAAATACATGGTTAGATTCAGCATATCAAAGAACCTCATATATTCAATTTTTGTTAAAATCAAACAAAGTTTAATTTGGGACCCCAATTTGGACCAACTTGAAAACTGGGCCCATAATCAAAAATCTAAATACATGTTTAGATTCAGCATATCAAAGAACCCCATATATTCAATTTTTGTTGAAATCAAACAAAGTTTAAATACTGGACCCTATCTTGGACCAACTTGAAAACTGGGCCCATAATTAAAAATCTAAACACATGTTTAGATTCAGCATATCAAAGAACCCCAAGAATTCAATTTTTGTTAAAATCAAACTAAGTTTAATTTTGGACCCTTTTGACCTCAATATGAACCAATTTGATAACAGGGTCCACAAATAAAAAATCTTAATGTAGACCAATTTAAAAAACAGGACCCAAAATTAAAAATCTAAATACACGGTTAGATTTGGAATATCAAAGAACCCCAATAATTCAATTTTTGATGAAATCAAATAAAGTTTAATTTTGGACCCTTTTGACCTCAATATGAACCAATTTGATAACGGGGTCCACAAATAAAAAATCTAAATACATGGTTAGATTTAGCATATCAAAGAACCCCATATATTCAATTTTTGTTGAAATCAAACAAAGTTTAATTTTGGACCCCAATTTGGACCAACTTGAAAACTGGGCCAAAAATCAAAAATATAAATACATGTTTAGATTCAGCATATCAAAGAACCTCATATATTCAATTTTTGCTAAAATCAAACAAAGTTTAATTTTGGACCCTTTGGACCTTAATGTAGACCAATTTGAAAACTGGACCCAAAATTAAAAATCTAAATACACTGTTAGATTCGGCATAACAAATAAATAAATGTGATCAAAGATTTTACAAATCTAATGCGCCATACTGTGCAATTAAAGATTACTTCTTGAAATTTTTCAATATTTGAAATTTGAAAAAAAAAAAATATTTGAAGAATAATTCTTTTTAATTTCTGAAATCTGAAATGAGAAAAAATTGACCCCCCACAATTTCTTTTTATCCCCCCCCCCCCTTTTTTTCCCCCCAAAAATTCTTTCCCTCAAGATATGGTCATAATCTCATTTCAAATTTCCAATGGAGTTAGCAACCATAATTACCCATTTAAATTTACCATAGTGCTAACTTAATCTATTTTATAATAGAATTAAAAATATAGTGTCAAATCATTCATATGGATTTTTTTGTAAAAAAAAAAGATGCAACATTTGCAGATATTTTTACTGGTCTTCCTTTATAAATATGCATTTCTTTAAACATAATTTAAAAGCAGTGTAAGGGAAGTAACCAAAACGTTGTATTTGGATTACCTCCCTTACACTGTTTTAAATTATCTTTATTGTTCATTAACCATTACTTTATACATAATTTAAAAGCAGTGTAAGGGAGATAATTTCAATGATGTATTTGATTTATCTCCCTTACACTGCTTTAAATTATGTTTTGTACTAAAGTATTTGTCCATTAACCAGGACAACCTTGTTTTTCCCCCTTTTTTGCCCCTAATTCCTAAACGGTTTGAGCCATAACCCCCCAAAGCAAATCCTAACCATCCCTTTGTGGTATGGAAACTTGTAGTATAATTTCAGAGAGATCCATACACCGTTCCACAGTTATTGTCTGGAAACTAGAAAATGCTTATTTTTGGCCCCTTTTTGGCCCCTAAATTCCTTAACTGTTGGTACCATAACCCCCAAAATCAATCCCAACCTTCCTTTTATGGTATTTAACCTTATGGTCAAATTTCAAAAAGATCGATTTACTTAAACTAAAGTTAGAGTGCGAAAACCAATGTGTCTTCGGACGACGACGCCGGACGACGACGACGCCGGAGACGCCAACGTCATACCAATATACGACCACAAAAATTTTTTGCGGTCGTATAAAAACTGCCTTATCAGGGGTTTTAAATCAGAAGGTTCCATTATTTGGTCTTATCAAAATGCAAAACATGTATAAGACAAAAATTTATATTTCTGCATAAACAATACATGTTTTTTTGCAGTTAAGTTTTAATTTATCGACTGCTTTACTTTTGTATATTTTATTATCTATGACAAAATATTGCTCAAATAGCATGCAATGATGGCAAAGGCATAAGATCAGACAGTTTTTTAATCCATAAAGAAGTACATTTATGCAATCAAATGTTGGCATACAACTGGCAAGTTTACAACCAATCAGATTTGTCATGCATTCAAAATTCAATTTAGCTCCCACAAAACTGGACTGAACTTGATAGAAAATAAAGTATACCTTGATTTAGATTTGTAATAAAACTAAAACTCACTTCTGTCAGTCCAACCAAACCAATTGTTGATCTAATTTTGATGGTAAATATTGTATTCCTTGATCTTGATTTGTAATAAAATTAAAATTTCACTTACGTCAGTCCACCTACACTAATTAGTGAACAGAACTTAATAGTAAATATTGTCTACCATGATTGACTTTTTGATATGTAATAGAATTAAAAGTTCACTTACGTCAGTCCACCTAAACCAATTGTTGTGAAGAAATTGATAGCAAATCTTGTATTCTTTGGATTATCTCTAGGTAGGATGCCTTCAAAGAAACCTTGTAATGTCCTGAAACAGAAATAATTAATATTAACATTAAATGCTTGAACAATCACACAGCAAAAATTACATAAAACGCCAAAGTATCAGACTCATCTTAGCATCCATCTTAGCATGGCTAATGTATCATTTGAGGTGAGGTTAAAATCAGTACAATGTTAAATACATTCTCTGCTTGTTAGAAAAGAACTTTTTGGAGAAAAACAAGGAACAAGAAATGAAGTTTTTAAATACAGTATTTTTGTAGTAATAAGTGTTGTGTATAAGTTTCATAACATTTGGTTGAGGCAAACTTAAGTTAGAGAATGGAAACAAAAATGTAAAAGGGCATAACTCTACAACAGTAAAAGTGACATCACCAAAAATCACCCTTGATCTGTATTTTGTGGTAATAAGCATTGTGTATAAGTTTCATAACATTTGGTTGAGGCGAACTAAAGTTGGAGAACCGAAATGCTGAATTTTTTTTCTTTTGTAAAGCCAAAGGGGCATAACTCCAGAACGTTTAAAGTGACTCAACCAAAATTCAAACTTGATATGTGTTTTGTCGTAATAAGCATTGTGTATAAGTTTCATAACATTTGGTTCAGGTTAACTTAAGTAAGAGAACGGAAACGAAAAATTCAGCAATTTTTCCATTTGTTAAGGGGCATAACTCTAGAACGGTTAAAGTGACACCACCAAAATTCAAACCTGATCTGTATTTTGTGGTATTAAGCATTGTGTATAAGTTTCATAACAGTTGGTTGAGGCAAACTAAAGTTAGAGAACGGAAACCAACTTTGGGATGTACGGACGGACGGATGGACAAGGGTAAAACTTAATGCCCCTCTGCCACGGCGGGGGCATAAAAATATTGCCAGTATACTCAATATACTTATTATATGATTATTCTCAATTACAGTACAGATGGCTTATTTTCCCAATATTCTTAAGGAAACAGCCTTTTCTTTTCTTGAATTAATGTCCAATCAAAATACATAAGTATAACTTACGGATCCTTAAGTCTTTCATTTAACTTTGGAAGTCCCATGAATTCAGACAACTCTTGAAACATAATCTTGATAAAAATACGGCTTGCTGAGGATGTATCGTCTTCATTTAACCTGATACAGGTGATGACCTATAAATAAAGGGAGAGAACTGTAATTAAGTAAATTAAGCACACAATATGCATTGTATGCACATTGAAAATGATACTAGAATAAAATGGAATATTTTAAAAGCTATTTAATCAGAGGTTGGTGAAATGACCAGCAGATAAAACTGCAGGAGGAAATCTTTCAGGGTATAAAATTTGCTCAAATTTGACAAATAAAGTTCTGTAACTCTGGAACATCAATCTTCAATATTTCAATGTCTGAAGTGAGCTTTCACCAATTCCAACAGTGTAAAGTTTGAAATAGACTGATCCATGCTTTCTCAAGCTGGAGTGTGATAAGTGGAAAATTGTTAATTTGTTGGTTAAAGTCCTACAACTCTACAAATCAGAACATTTTCAAAATCAAAAGCACTTTTTTCCTCTGATTCAAAAATTTCATGTTGGTTTCTAAAATTTGATGAAATCATTCTCTAGTTTTTGTACCAGTGACATGAGAAGTAGAACAAACTGATATACACAACATTTACAGTCTGTAATTGACTTATTAAAATATATGCTAAGTTTGAATTTGATAATTGAAATATGACTGTTTGACAACATGTTTGCTCCAAATTTTAAATACAGTAATGAAGTTGAGGTTATCAGAAAACCATATTTTCGATTCATCATTTTATAAAAAAATCTGCAATTTCAATTTTAAGACATTTATCCCTCAACAACATTTTATTGGAAGGTCGCGAGGTACTCAGCTAAAAACTAAAGAAATAGAACTTTGGCATAGAATAATAAGTAGAAAACAGATCAAATTAATTCATCATCATACATTTAGTTTTTTTGTTTGGGAGAAGATGAATTGTCTATAGAAAAAACTTGTGGTTTATTTGAATATTGGCTTACTCAGTATTCCATAACAAGAAGTAAGGTCAAAATTTATTGAATTTTTAAGTTGATTTTGTCAGAAGTTGATTAATTTTACAGATTAATATAAAGTAATACATTCCAAATATGACGTTTAATTACCGGTATATAAAAACTGTTTGGGAGCAAGAAAAAAGCCCCTTGGACAAAAGCTTCCCAGACTAAAGCCCCCTTCAAAGAATGTATGTAGTATATTAGAAATTCTATTTAGTAAATATATTACAAAAGCCTCCAGACACAAGCCTGGTTTATGCCAATTTTGGAAAAATTCTGTGTTTTTGTGAAGAAATGTTAATATTTTCACGACTTTAAACATTTCAGAAATACCATATCCAACTAGTAATTTTCTTTTAACTTAACTGTTACAATATTCTGTTTAAAAACAATGCATGTAGTTTGTGAGAATTTATCATACTGGTCAAAGGGAGGTAATCCATCCTGATCTGTAGTAAATGTCAAACTTCATATGACACAAACAAAAGTGGCAAAATGGCAGACCTGAGCCATAAGTTTACCCACTACGATCCTCCACTGAAAATTTACTGAACTGAATGTCTTTTTTCCCTACCGGATACTGTTAAAGGACGTACTTGCATACAAACAATACAAATAATGCACTTAAAGGCTATTCATATTTCAAATCAAATATCATGTTTGCTAATTTTATCATTTATAGATTAAAAAATCTGTGCTGCAAACTTACTCCCCAGGAAATTGCATCTGTATGCAATAAATGTGCAAAGAACTTGGCAACATTCCTCAACTTGTTAGTCTCTAGACGATGTATGGTCTCATACTGCTCTTTAAACATTCCCTGGAAAGGTTCTATATACTTCTTATCTATCATACAGAATCTCTGAAAATATATAAACAACATATGTAGTGTTAGTTATTTTACCAAATTAAACAAGCAAAATGAGAGTCTATCTCTTCTACAAGACAAAAAAGACATTAAAAAATTAAACACAATGCTTAAAAGTAAATTCTTAATAAACAGAATTAATTTTTAATTATCTGCAGATCCCAAAAGATTTAATCTTTTAAAATGCAGAATAGCATTTTCAAAAGTTGAGTATCAGCTATAATTTAACACTCACCTGAGCTAATAAACCAAAAAACTTTTCATAAGTTCTCTGTTGAGCACAGCAATCCAGAATCATATTACATAGCTCAATCTGAAAAATTCATTGTACATAAAATATATGAATTACAGTAATTAAAACTTTAAGAGCAGATAATCATCCAAACGGCACAACAAATCCCCTGGGTTTTTTGTTTTTTTCCAGAATCTTTTTATGAAGACTCTTTCATCCTTTCAGAGACAAAATATTAACATCTGTAAATAAAAATTCCTATGAAAATATGTTATAGTGGTTCCACATTATATTTTGGCCCCTTTTCAAAAAGTCACCATCATCAGATTTTCCATGTTTTCAATCTCTGCCTTTACTAAGAACATTTATAAGAAACCAACAAAATAAAAATAAGCAAATTTATTTTAATTACATTTTAAAATTCTTATTCTGTTTCCAAATCCCTTTAAATTAAGTACAAAATTAACATTTTCAACATGCAAGCTAATCCAAAACTTATCTATCAAGAGAAGATAATTAATAAAAGAAATAAGAAAAAAAATAGCTTTAAATCTCCAGCGACTTTCATGCCAAAACAATCAAATAACAGCTGTTTTAAATTCATATATTTATATATATATATCAATGACATGAGTCCACTGAATCTTCCAATAGTATGCTTTAAAGATAAATATCATGAAAAGAACATTCAATATAATATGTAACCTAATGTATGAGACAATTTAACCTAGGTTTGGATAAATTAATTTCAAAGAACTGCTCAGGTTGCTTGAAAATTAACTTACTAAAGATAAAATAAACTGTTATCACAGAGACATGTCTCGCCTTTTTGTAATTATTGATAATGCAAATGTTGAAATTAAAATAGCAATACTTTAACATGTAAGTTATGGAAATATTCAAAGTCGATGAACCATGACTGAAGGTACATGGCTAAACAATCTCCATGGAATGAGATGTGCCAATGCTAATACAACTGCATACCAAATACCATTGACTTATCATAAGTCGTTCCCTTTTAGAAACCTCTTTCTAAATTATTAACATCTATTTTATCAGCAATCAAAGCCGGGCTCCAAAGTTATTGTGAAACTGCCTATTCTAGAGGTGGCGTGAATCAGATGTGGATACTAAAAAATTCCAAAGATCTTTTAGAGTACATACAATCTGAGACTCTCTCATCTTGCAATAGTATTAAAACATTTGACTTTTCTACACTTTACACAAGTATTCCCCATTCCAAACTAAAAGACAAATTGAAAGAGTTGGTATTACCGTACTTTGTTTCATTAAAAAGAATGGCGAACGTAGATACAAGTATCTTGTCTTGGGAAGGGATAAATCCTACTTTGTAAAGAATCACTCTGATTCAAACAAAAAATTCTCTGAAACTGACATTATCAAGATGCTTGATTTCTTGATTGACAACATATTTGTTACGTTTGGAGGACGTGTATTTCAACAGACTGTCGGAATTCCAATGGGAACCAATTGTGCCTTTCTTCTTGCCGACTTGTTTCTTTATTATTATGAGGCTGACTTCATACAGGAACTTCTTAGGAAGAAAGCAATATTCTTTAACTCTACGTTCCGCTATATAGATGATGTTCTCTCACTAAATAATACAAATTTGGTGACTATGTTGAACGAATCTATCCCATCAAACTAGAGATAAAGGATACTACAGATACAGTTAAGTCTGCCTCATATCTTGACTTACATCTAGAAATTGACAATGAGGGTCGGTTGAAAACAAAACTTTACGACAAAAGAGATGATTTCAGCTTCCCAATTGTGAACTTTCCATTTCTATGTAGCAACATTCCAGCAGCGCCTGCATACGGAGTATATATCTCCCAATTGATACGATATTCCCGGGCTTGTGTTTCCTATCATGATTTCCTTGATAGAGGATTGCTGCTCACAAGGAAGCTATTAAGCCAAGAGTTCCAAATGGTGAAGTTGAAATCATCCCTTCGTAAATTTTATGGACGCCATCACGAGTTGGTTGACCGTTATGGAATAACCGTTTCACAGATGATATCAGATATGTTCCTTGTGTCGTAACTACAATACCCTTCCCTTTTCACGAATGTGACTTACCAAATTAGACTATTTACCGGATTTGTAATAACATAAGCAACACGACGGGTGCCACATGTGGAGCAGGATCTGCTTACCCTTCCGGAGCACCTGACATCACCCCCAGTTTTTGGTGGGGTTCGTGTTGCTTAGTCTTTAGTTTTCTATGTTGTGTCATCTGTACTATTATTTGTCTGTTTGTCTTTTTATTTTTGACCATGGCGTTGTCAGTTTGTTTTCGATCTATGAGTTTGACTGTCCCTCTGGTATCTTTCATCCCTCTTTTAAACAAACCTAAACACAAACATTAACTTGTAAACTATGTAAAAGTTTCAAAGTCAATGAACCATGATCAGGGGTGTGGCAATATAATCTCCATGGAAACGATACTTGCAAATGCCAATAAATTTGCATACCAAATATCATTGACTTAACATTTGCAGTTCATCTTAAACTGATCTAATCACAAACTAATACATGAAAACTAAGCAAAAGTTTCAAAGTAAATAGACCATGACTGAGGGGGCGGGGCCAAATATTCTCCATGGAAATGAGATGTGCTAATGCTTATACAACTGAACACCAATTAACATTGGCCTACTACTAATGGTTCCCCTTGAACTGACCGAATCACAAACTAATACATGTTAGCTTAGCAAAATTTTCAAAGTCTATAGACCATGACTAAGGGGGCGGAGCCAAATAATCTCCATGGAAATGAGATATGCCAATGCTTATACAACTGCATACCAAATATCATTGACCTACCACTAGTGGTTCCCCATAAATTGACCTAATCACAAACTAATACATGTAAACTATGAAAAGTTTCAATGCCAATAGACTTTGACTGAGGGGGAGGGGCCAAATAATATCCATGGTAATGAGATGTGCCAATGCTAATACAACTGCATACCAAATATCATTGACCTACCACTAGTGGTTCACCATGAACTAGACCTAATCACAAACTGATACATTGTTGACCCTGCAGCCGCCGTCGCCGCCACCAACAGCATACCTATGTCTCGCTTTTTGACTCCATCAAGGCGAGACAAAAAGTGAAAAATCCTGTTCAGACCATAATCATGCATAGTTTAAAGGATAATAAAAGAAAAATAAGTTATTTGAGAAAAAAAGAAAGTTAGGGAACAGAAACGAAAAATTGAGAAATTTTTCCATTTGTAAAGGGGCATAACTCTAGAACACTTAAAGTGACGCCACCAAAATTCAAAATTGATCTTTGTTTTGTATTAAGTATTTTGTAGAAGTTTCATAACATTTGGTTGAGGCAAACTAAAGTTAGAGAACGGAAACCAATTTTGTGATCGTACGTACGTACGGACAGACATGGGTAAAACTTAATGCCCCCTCCGCTACGGCGGGGGCATAAAAATACATCAGAAAGACAGCATCCTGATGACATCAAACTTACTTCTTGGCCAGGCTTCATTTTCATCTTTAACAACTTATGAGCACATTCTTCAAAATCCAGACTAGACTGAATGGTGAGGTATATAGTCCTTCTTAAGGCCACAAGATTTGTTTCTGTGTTGTCTATGATAGTTTGCTTTGCTTCTAGAACATATAATGTACAAGTTACAGTAAACTTAACATTGGTCTAAATTTAGCAGTCTTATAAAGTTAATTTGTTTTATAATTGTTGCTGAATATTTTTATATTCTTACTGATCATACTGATTTCAGGATTTTTTTTATTGTATGTGACATAACTCTTCCAATTGTAATTTTTGAATCTTTTCCTTATATTTAACATGTGACCAGTTTTTTGTGTATCTCCATAATTTCATTTAATTACAAGAATTATTTTTACTGATTATCATATACTTATAAGTTTACCACCTACAGTAAGATTTTTACCCTAAATGAACCATTTGTTTCAAGTATATCAGTAAATTCCCTCTGCCATCTAACTGTTCACCTAAATGATTTTTTTCATAGATAAAAGTAACAATTATTGCTCTACTGCCTGCAGAATAGTTTTTCTCCTAAATCAGTTTTTTTAATGTAAATCTGAAATGAAACATTACTCTACCGAATAATTTTCAATCTGAGTCAGATACTTTTTATCACATTTAAATACATTCTCTACTTTGTGTGAGACATACTGTTTTTATATTAACCTTTTCTTCCCTTTACTGAATGCAAAATTACTTTTTTCCTTAATATGTATATTTTTCATGTATCTATATTTTGTTTGTGTATGTGTGTGACTACTTTACCTTCATTTTCTTCTCCACTTTCATCACTTTCAGATCCAGATCCTGATCCACTTCCACCATCCTCATCAGAGCTGCCTTCATCTAATATTTCTAAAATAACAAAATTCATACAAATATTTATAATTCCTTTTAAAACATGTTCTGAAGACACAAAATTTCAAAATGAACTGACAGAAATATGGAGGGAAGAATCTATTTAAAAAGGCCTTGCATTCAAAAGGTAAAATGAAGAATTCTATCATATTTTCCATCATGAAATATCAAACAAGGCACACATACATATATATGTCATTCAAAGGTAATTTTACAAGATATTCAATTAGTCATAGCTTCACCCCGCAAGTGTGGGGTGCAAGAACTTCCATTTTGTGTGCTTGTAATGAAAACATGTTCACTCCCTACAGTAATCCATGTCAAATTGTTATTCCTAGTAAAATAATAACAAATCAGATTGAGTGACATAAATTCCTCCAGTATGTGTAACATGATGTGGTAGGTTTTTCAGATTATCCAGTATGTGTAACATGATGTGACAGGATTTTCAGATTAGCCAGTATGTGCTACATGATGTGGCAGGATTTTCAGATTAGCCAGTATGTGTAACATGATGTGGTAGGTTTTTCAGATTATCCAGTATGTGTAACATGATGTGGCAGGATTTTCAGATTCCTCCAGTATGTGTAACATGATGTGGCAGGATTTTCAGATTAGCCAGTATAAGCACAAAACCTTACACATTGTATCTTACCTTTCTTTAAAGTCTTGTATTTTTCTTCATTAGATTCAAAGTCAGGATCAAACTTGAATACATCTGAAAGTATAAAGAAATAAATATAAACATTTTATTTTCAAGCTTACTTTTTTTTATAAAAACAGCAATGCATACTTGATGAAACTTCAATAGATATATTTGTATGATTAGTTGAAGCTACTATTTTAGTAAAATGATAAGTAATCTTTATTAGTACTGAAGGATATCTTTTACACCTAGGATAATCTTTTCTTAGATTGTAATGACAAGAAATCATCCATACATCCATAATTACAGTATTTAAATATATTTTTTTATACTACAAATTCTGTAAATGTAGTAAGTTTTGCTGCATCTAGTGTTCATAGTTTTGTTAATCAAAACATTTTGAGACATGTTATTTCTTGCTTTTACACTATGTTTACTCTACTTTTCAAAAGTTTTTTTTCCATTTTTTCATAAGACCCATGAGAAAAGCTAAAAATAATTTCAGCAGAAAAAACACTGCTTCTCCAGTGACTTGGACACTTATATGAATTACATTGTAGAAGTTTAAACAAGTAAATAAAGATAAATTCTTTTTCAAAATCCATCATTGAATATCTTTGTCATTTGGTCAATTTCTGTTAATAAGGTGTTCCAAATACCATGTCTTTCTAATTAGACCTTAATATTTAACAAATGACTTAAAAACATACTTGAAAACAAGAATGTGTCCATAGTACATGGATGCCCCACTCGCACTATCGTTTTCTATGTTCAGTGGACCGTGAAATTGGGGTCAAAACTCTAATTTGGAATTAAAATTAGAAAGATCATATCATAGGGAACATGTGTACTAAGTTTCAAGTTGATTGGACTTCAACTTCACCAAAAACTACCTTGACCAAAAACTTGAACCTGAAGCGGGACAGACGGATGAATGGATGGACGAACGAACGGATGCACAGACCAGAAAACATAATGCCCCTACTACTATCGTAGGTGGGGCACAATAAACATTCTCTATCAAATAAATTAGTGATGAAAATTCAGGCTGTCAAATTTTTATTCTTTATTATAATACACACATAAACATGTGAATTCTTACTCAGCATTTCTTCTGGTGTTCCTTCTTCTTCTAAAGTCATCATATGAGTGAACTGGTCATCCTCTTCCACAAGATCTAGCTCCTCAACAACAGACTGATGATCCTAAATAAAACACAGAAACCATTAATACCAGTTTGGATCATTCGCTCCACTTGTATCAGCACAAAATAACCATACGATATATTACAATTTATCTATTCTAACAGCATACACAGAATTCAGTGTTGGTATATTTTCCAATTTAATAATAAGACATTAACCTTATGGAGAGTTTATTTTTGGCATGTATTTGGTATTTAAACACACTCCAAAAAAGGTTTATATCAAAAATTGTACAAAATGGTATTGTACAATTAATAGTCCACGGTCAAGAGATTTTTTCAATATGCATGTATATAGGGAACTAATATGCCCTGTTTTACATATTTGACCAATAAATTATGAGTCCATAAATTTAGGGAGCCTGAGAGACATTTTATTTAAAATGTTATAATTCATTACAACAATTTTGTCAAAAGAGAATATGGATGTTGACAATTTTTGTAACATTTTGAAAATATTGTTTGTCTTATAATGAAGGTATTAATTTATTTCAGATAATAACAGACACCAATTTCCAGTTTGTCTATCTATAATTCTTGTTAACGATCAATGTGAAAAAACAATTTTAAAAAGAAATTTATACACAAAGTTGTGAATGTTTAAACTAACTGATGTTAACAGTTGCTTTTGAACCCGCTGAACGTAAGAACCAAATGGTCTCATGTTCAATTCTTATGTTCAATGCACGATTTAATAACATTAAAATTATCAATTCTACTGCATTAGATGTGCATTTTGACAATTAATGCTTGTGGCGAAAGATGTTTGAAAATCCAAAACAAATAACAAACATTGAAGATTTTATAAAACCATGAAGGACCTTAAGTATAACCAAATCCAGGCAAGGCATCAGAGTTGTACTCCTCAATTTAAAATGATTTCCAAAATTTTATAACAGCAATTTTCAATTTAAAGATTTGTATTTTATACAAATATATCATGCTTACAAGGGGTATTTGCCAAAAATACAGGTTGAGAGGTAAACAAATTTCCAGAGCGTTTAGGCGAGGGAAATTTGTTTTCCTCAAAACCGGTGTTTTTGGCAAATACCCCTTGTAAGCATGATATATTTGTTTAATTCCACCGAATGCTCTTTGTATCCATCTTGACCTCAGAATTTTTATTGTAATCAGGTATGCTATGGAATTTTTGCATGACTGTTTAATTTTTTTCCAGAGCCATTATAAAGTTCTCCATTGTGGCAATGCAAGTTTATATAAAATCCCTTCAAAAGTGCACACAGTTCTGACACTGGCAAATTTTCAAATTAAATATCACATTCCTTTGCCAAACAGAAAGTCCATTAACAATTTTACCGCAAATTTTGTAGACTTTGCAGTGTTTTTAGAGTGAATGTTTGTAAGAAGCTTATTTTCTTCCTCCTCAGAATCATCTGCAAATCGATGTTCAACCTGTTGGACTGATGCATCGTCTGCGTTGTCAACCATCTTGTGTATTTGTACTTATCGTTCACGACGAAAAGTCTAGAGGTCTTTTGAAGTCGCGTAATTTATGACATGGTATTTCCCATCTGCCTCGGCACATGGAATTCCCTAAAGACAAATACATCGGCAGAGAAAAGAAAATCTCAATATATAGAAAATTTGTGTCATCCAATCAAAATACAGCATTATTACACAAGGTGGAATTAATTTCTAAATATATCAAACACACTATTCATAAAATAAAAATCATCAGTTATAATATGTACATGCCTATTCATCAATACTCTTACAACTTCTGAATCCATCATAGTTTCTTACCTTGAATCCATCTTTTCTGATGGCAAACATGACTTCTACCTTATACTGCACCCTGACATCAATACTCTTACAACTTCTGAATCCATCATAGTTTCTTACCTTGAATCCATCTTTTCTGATGGCAAACATGACTTCTACCATATACTGCACCCTGACATCAATCTGTCCTTCATGTAAAACATTCCTCAATCTCTCAAATATTGCTGTAATATTAATTTTCTTTTATGAAATGTGCAGATATTTAACAAGGAAACATACTGAAATTTGGACAATTTTAGTCAGCTGCAAAATAAGTTTTTGACTTAACAAAATCTTGACAAATTACTTATTTGACAATCAAAATTGTTATATACCTTCTATCATCTGACTAAGTTATTTACAACATAAAAGATATAAACTCCTTTTTTGCACAAAGAGCAGTTTATTATTAGTTTATTTACTGACTATAACCATCCCCTCTTGGGACATTAATAGTTGCACAAAAAAGCTTACTGCTCATAATACCACTATATTGAACAACATCACACAGTTTCCTTATCTGTAATGGTCATTTGATAAACTGATGAAAAACTTGATGACTTCTAATATATCTGTCAAATGTATTATCTATTCTCTCATGCTCTTTTTTCTCACACACTCAATAACAAAATTTTTTCAAAAATCTTCTCCTGAGTACTTCATATTTTAAAATGTAGTAAATCTTATCATGCATTAAGTTTGACTATTACCGTTAATTCCCCTCGGTGAGACTTCTGTCAATTTCTGTCCACTTTCCTTTAGGAACCCTACAGCCACTTCTACAGAATCATCAGAAGAATTCTCCAATAACAAAGTCAATATTTCTAATGATAGAACTTCATGGGCCTGGAACAATAAAACATATATATCTAGAAGCATTCTCCAATTATATGGTCAATATTTCTAATGATAGAATTTCATGGGCCTGAAACAATAAAACTTATATATCTAGAAGCATTCTCCAATAATAAGGTCAATATTTCTAATGATAGAATTTCATGGGCCTGAAACAATAAAACTTATATATCTAGAAGCATTCTCCAATAATAAGGTCAATATTTCTAATGATAGAATTTCATGGGCCTGAAACAATAAAACTTATATATCTAGAAGCATTCTCCAATAATAAGGTCAATATTTCTAATGATAGAATTTCATGGGCCTGAAACAATAAAACTTATATATCTAGAAGCATTCTCCAATAATAAGGTCAATATTTCTAATGATAGAATTTCATGGGCCTGAAACAATAAAACTTATTTATTACATTGGTTGCAATGAATTACATTGATTTCCCAGTGAAATAAAAACCGATAATTTCACATGTGAAATAAATGTGGTTATTTCACTCCTCTGACGTCATACAACAATAGGCGTTGTCAAGACGTCGATAACGTCGGATCAAAACAAATTGTGAATGCGTAGAAAAAGATATAGTTCCTTACGTTTTCTACTTTAATTTCATAAAAAAGCCATTTGCCAATGTAATAAAAAGAATAACTAATAAAAGAATTCAAATATCGAAAAATATTCAACTCGTGACCGAACAACACTGATAATTAACTCATGCGCTACGCGCATTCGTGAATTAATGTGTTGTTCGGTCACTCGTTGAATATTTTTCTCTATTTGAATTCTTCGATTAGTTATTCTATAAATATCTAGAAGCATTCTCCAATAATAAGGTCAATATTTCTAATGATAGAATTTCATGGGCCTGAAACAATAAAACTTATATATCTAGAAGCATTCTCCAATAATAAGGTCAATATTTCTAATGATATAACTTCATGGGCAAAACAAACATATATCTTGACACAAAACCAGTAAATGTTGAGGGTCTTTTTCTTAAGGTGGGATGGATTTGAATGAAAAAATCTAAAGTTCTGATTAAAAATAGGGTGTTCCAAGGAGTAAGTTCAAATGAAATCAATAATCAATAAATCACTCAATTTAATGAAAAGTTGCATTGTCAACCAAATCATGATGGTATCTGTTAAATTCAAATTGTATAATAAATATTCTGAAACTTTGTTATATTGCATCTGATCTTACCACTTGCTGGTTGACTAGGTGAGCTATGAATCTGGTGGTGGATAAACAAAGACTTTTGTCATTTCTCTTAAATCCTCGTCTAAACTGTATCACTAATCGTCGCAATATCAACTCTCCAACTTGTGGAAACTGAAAAGTAAAAGGGAAATTGTTTATCATTTTTTATTTTATCTATATACACACCTGCTAATAAAACATTAACATTTTTAACAAACCAAATAAACTGCTTCGCTGAGCGTAGCATGATACAACTGCAGAGGTCCAACCCTGAACAGTTGGGGCAAAAATGGACACAATATTCAAGCTTGATACACGTCTGAATTTGGATTGTAATTAAATATTTGACACATTATAGGTTTCTGACACAGAAAAAATGTAGTCAAAGAACTTAAAATTGGTTATGATTTGAATTTATATTCAATTGAAGATTTCTTGCTTTTGTGCAATACACTGTGCACTGTGATGTTGCGCATTATTTAGTAAATCTGTTTTCAGACTATATACAAAGAATTAGCAATTGTGACCCCCAAATTTTCTTTGGAAAAATTGACAATTTCTTAAATCTTGCAGAAAAAAATTGAATCCCAACCTTCGACTTGTAGTATTAAATTTTGGGCCCCTTTTTGGTTCCTAATTCCTAAACATTTGGGACCATCACTCCCAAAAACAATCCCAACCTTACTTTTGTGGTATTGAACCTTTTGCTTAAATTTCAAAGAGATCCATACACTGAAATTTAAGTTATTGTCCGGAAACAAAATGTCTTCTGACGACGACAAGGCAGACATGATAGCATTATACGATCCCCAAATTTTTTGTGGTCGTATAATAAAAATATATTAGAATTGTGTCATTTCTTAAAATTGTAAACTTAACTAAAAATCTTATATTTTCAAAACAAACAAACTGAAGCCATATTTACAAGGAGTTAGTTTTGCTATTTCTATATCTATAACTATTTAACTTGTCTTGAATCTAGGATTAAAAAGAGCACAAGCATTTAAAATGCTACAGCTATGCATAAAGGGCACTTCATTTTTACAAAGGGCCACCTTATTTCAAGTACATATATATATTGTTTTTTTATGCAGACAAGTAGGATACTGACCTTTGTATTAATGACGGATACTAATGCTGCATAAACATGAGTAAAAGTAGGTGAAGCTGATTGAGCTTGTATCACAGATCTGGCTAATAACCCCCTGTAAAGAAATATAGATCAAATTCATTATTTATTACAATATATTACCTGATTTTACACCAGAAAACTTTTAACATGTCTACAACCAATTTTGTTGCAAGTGGTCAATATAAAAATAAGAAGATGTGGTATGACTGCCAGTGAGACAGCTATCAACCAAAGACCAAATGAAGTAGAAGTTAGCAATTATAGATCAATGTACGGCCTTCAACAATGAGCATTTTGTATTTAAATTTTATTTTGACCATTAAAACTAGAGGCTCTCAAGAGCCTGTGTTGCTCACCTGACTCTTCTTTGGTTTTAGAAATCATGTAAAGATAGATAAAAATTATAACAGATACCCAAATAATGATTGAGGCCAAATTTGGTTTAATATTGTTCCCGTTATTTAATAAAATATCCTGGTGGCCATCTTGAACAGTAAATCAGCAACAAAGTAGCAAAACTTGGTCAGCACCTCATAAGGAACATTCATGCCAAGTTTGGTTTCATTCCATTCAGTGGTACTCTAAAAGAAGACATTTGTATGTATTTCCCGTAGGGTCCTAAATTTAACAAAGTCCCCCCCCCCCCCTGGCGGCCATCTTGGATGATGGACTGACTGCAAAGTAACAACACTTGGTCAGCACCTCATAAGGAACATTCATGCCATGTTTGGTTTCATTCCATTCAGTGGTTCTCTAAAAGAAGACACTTGTATGTATTTCCCATAAGGTCCTTTGTTAAACTAAGTCCCCCACTAGCAGCCATCTTGAATGATGGTTTGGCTGCAAAGAAACAACACTTTGTCAACAACTCATAAGGAACATTCATGCCATGTTTGGTTTCATTCCATTCAGTGGTTCTCTAAAAGAAGACATTTGTATGTATGTCCCGTAGGGTCCGATGTTAAACTAAGACCCCCGCTGTCCGCCATCTTGGATGATTTACCTACTGCAAAGTAACAACACTTGGTAAGCACCTCATAAGGAACATTCATGCCATGTTTTGTTTCATTCCATTCAGTGGTTCTCTCAAAGAAGACATTTGTATGTATTTCCCATAGGATCCTATGTTAAACAAGTCCCCCACTGTCGGCCATCTTGGATGATGGACCGACTGCAAAGTAACAACACTTGGTCAGCACCTCATAAGGAACATTCATGCCATGTTTGGTTTCATTCCATTCACTGGTTCTCTAAAAGAAGACATTTGTATGTATTTCCCATAGGGTCCTATGTTAAACTAAGTCCCCCACTGGCGGCCATCTTGGATGATGGATCGGCTACAAAGTAACAACACTTGGTAAGCACCTCATAAGGAACATTCATGCCATGTTTGGTTTCATTCCATTTAGTGGTTCTCTAGAAGAAGTTCAAAATGTAAAAAGTTAACGACAACGACGACGACGGACGCCAAGTGATGAGAAAAGCTCACTTGGCCCTTTGGAGCAAAAAAACTCTCACCTCACTGCAAGTTTAAGACGGCCCCTAGCACCGGCTTGAGCGGAATTCTTTGCAAAAATAATTTGGATAGACTTTGTAAGATAATACACCACCTAATCGGGCCTGGTCATAAAAGAACATACTGGAAAGTAGTAAAATTGAGAATGGAATTGGGAATAGTATAAAACAAAATAATTCCTACGCATATGGGTAAATCTTAAACTATGTAGCATATATTTTAGTAATTAAGGTATCAGATGAAAGGTGAAGGACTGGTGATCCTTGTAGAACACACAATTTACTGATAATTTTGAATAATACAAAAATGTATGAATGAATTCTAAAATTGAGGGCATAAGCCAATTTTATATAAATAATATCTAATCAAAGAATTAAAATTCTGAAAAAACTAGATATCATTGAGATGGGAGCCATCTCTGTGGGCCCCGCTGTGAATAATGTGTGGTAAAAAATTTGTATCTTTATCATTGGACATGGGGTTGTCAACTGAAACCAAAGTTTTTGACCTTGACCTTTGACCTAAGAAGTTGTACATAAATTATGACACACCCTCTGGTGTTGGTTTATATACATATCAAGTATAAACTCTGAAATCATAACGGTTCTCAAGATATAGAGCGGACACGATCTTTACCATAGGACATGGGGTTGTCAACTAAAACCAGTTTTTGACCTTGACCTTTGACCTAGGAAGTTGAACATACATTATGACACACCCTCTGGTGTTGGTTTATATACATATCAAGTATAAACTTTGAAATCGTAAAGGTTCTCAAGATATAGAGCGGACACGACCTTTACCATAGGACATGGGGTTGTCAACTAAAACCAAAGTTTTTGACCTTGACCTTTTACCTAGGAAGTTGAACATACATTATGACACACCCTCTGGTGTTGGTTAATATACATATCAAGTATAAACTTTGAAATCATAACGGTTCTCTAGATATAGAGCGGACACAATTTGTTTAGGACGGACGGACGGACGGACGGACGGACAGACTGATCACTATAGGGCGTCCGCCATTCGGCGGGGCTCTAATAAAAAAAAACTGTGATAACTAACTTATGCACTATGATATTCATTATGATTGAATGAACAGGATGTGGAGTATGTGTCAGGGAGACAGCACCAAACAATGAACTAGTGATGTACATGTAAGTATGCTAAAACTGTGTAGACACTTTTTAGCAATGAAAAAAAATTTTTGAATCAATTGTCATTTTTATCACATATAACAAATGTTTTATGACCAGCCTATATGTACTTTGCACTTATCCCCAACCATAGCCCTTCTGCTTCATTTAAGAAATTCTGTGAAAATCTTACCTCCCTCTAACAATATTTTCCTGGAACAGTTCTCGAACAATGAAAATCAGATTGGAGACGTTTACTTTGTTCACTAAACCATTTATACTTTTCTTTAACGCTTCCCATGATATCCTCTGGTATTCAATACTGAAATGTACAGAGCAAAAATTTAAATTGAAAAAGAAATCGTGTAACTGCAAAGATTTACTCAGTAAATACATGGTTAAACAAACAAATAAAAGCTGAAAAAACCTGCATTTTTTAAATTGTGATAACTATTGTATGGCATAAGAACATTTTAATTTAAAACTACTAATATTTCGCAATTCTTTGTCATGTCAATTACAAGTTAAAAGTAATACCTGGAGTTTGTTAGGAAAATTTGTGTTATAAAAGAATTTATTCTAAAAGAAATAAATGTTGCACACTTGGTCTTGCTAAGCATAAAGAATGGATTGATTGATTGATGATTGCTTTACACTGCATCAGCGCAAAAAGGCTATATTGCAGCAAGAGCTATTTTAAATTTTTTAACAAAACATGCAGAATGGATAAAATAATCAAATTTGCTTGTTTCATATTAACACCTAATATACCTTGTTTTATCTGTAATTTTTGCCTGCATTGCCCTAAGTCTAGCTGGGGGAATGTAAGCACCACCTGTCCTTGTTGTCAAGGAAAGCAAGCTGTCGTCTGCTGGCTTCTTTTTGGCAGGAGGTTCTTCTGTATCATCAGGACGCTGGTCATCAGCATTGTTACTTGTGTTCATATTTTCTGATTTCCTTTTCCTCGATTCACTGAAAGCATTGAGTCATAGAATTATACTTCAGATATAAGGTAAAATTTTATTTTCTACTAAATATGATGAAACTTTTCTTATCATATTCTACACAAGTTTGTATTCAATTTTCCTCGATATCTCTGTTAAGTTTTTTTTTTTATCTGGAAAATAATAACTGTCTGTATAGGGCTTGAGGAAGAATTAAGATTAGAAACTGTTTACAATTCTGACTTTATTTAATTTAAACTAATTAGGTTTACATGAAACATCTCTATTTTTTAATATATTCATAAAAGTTTGGATGTATATTTATAAATCACCTGTCACTTTCTGGCCTTCTTCTTCTATTACCATATCCATCCCTCATTCTCTCTCCATCTCTTCTTCTTCTCTTATTGTCCCTGTCATCATTATAGTCACCTCTATCATTATAGTGATTACTCCTACCATCATTCATACGTCTCCTGTCATCACCCCTGGAATCTTGCCTTTCTTCATCAATTCTCCGTTTAGATGATGACCGTTGACCTTCATCTTGTTTTCTTTCCCTCTTCTTCTCCTTCTTATCATTTTCTGTACCACTGTCACTGCTGTATTTACGTTTCCTTGCCTGCTGATCCTTATCGTCATCATCTACACCAAAAGTCTCATCCTCTTCATTCTGGTTCTGACCTTGAATCTTAAATGAAAATTGACCTTGAATTAAAATCAAAATCATGATTTATTTTCTTAAGAAAGATGGTTCACTTAAAAATAGCACAATCATCTTACAAAACATTTATTTTTAGATGAAATTTCTTCCATAGATAAAGATGGTAAGCCATAGAATGTAACTCAAGTCTTTTATTTCAGAAATAGTAATCCACTCAAATTGTTGGTTATAAAGAGTTTGAATCCTTATTGTTGTTGTGACATGTACTGTTGATTCATTATGTTTTCTTTGCTATTTGATTTCCTGGTTTTGCCAAAGTCTACATACAAATCTATTATAAAAAGTGTACTTCTTTCAGCATTTAAATTTGTAGTTTACCTTTTCCAATGAAAATTGGCATCCCACGATTATATGATGAACCCACAATATATTGCATTTGACAATACTTCTGAAAGTTCATCATCTGATGAAAGTGATGAATATAGAGCTAAATTTCACGTTTTCTTTTGTTCAGGTAATAAGATTTAAAGTATTTCTGTTGTTCATAAACATGCAATTCATATGACAATTGACACTGTGCTTATGGAATACAAAAAGATTCTTTTTTTCCTAAGTTTATTAAAGACGATGTTTTATACATGATTTCCTGTAATCAGATTTTCAATGTTAACAAATGACTTTACATATTGTCAATTTGTTCATGATGATTTATGAGGGTCTGGCTTGTTCACACAGAATAGAGAATAATAATAAAATAATTTTCATGAGAATTTTACATAATAAGCATTACATTAAAAGATAAAGAAAAATACCCATACAATTTACATTATACAGAAATTAAGAATCCCCAACCAGGGTCTGTGGTTAACTACTGTGAATTCATCTGTTTTCGTGGGCATTAATTGATTGAGGAAAAATTGTATTTTTCGAGGTATCTGATTTTGTGGTAAATCTGCATACAAGCCTTTAGAAAATTTATACCTCATTGAACATTAAAATATATTTAAATTCGTGGTTTACCTAACCCCACAAAAATTGGTATCCCACAAATAATGATGAATCCACAGTATAAAGCCTGCAATAAGAACATAAATAATTTAAAAAAAAACCAGTGGAATTTAAAATTGAGACAATGAGATCAGTAAGAATTTTTGGTGGTAAGTGTATAGCAAACAAACTTTTTTATGTCTAGCCTCATCAACAACAGCCTGATAAATAATATACCTGTATAATACTTTTAATTGCTGGCGGTCTCTCTTCTTCACTATCACTGCTAGTAATCTCACCACTCTCCGGCTCACTTTCAAATTTTGCCATGTCATGTTTGCGTTCTAATCTCTTTTCACTGTCCATTGATGTGTTGGGACCGTCTGATACTAAGGACTGGTTCCCTGCTTCAACCGTAAAGCTTGGTTCATTTCCAAAAGACTGATCCCCATCTACTGATGTGAGACTCCTATTTCTATCACCAGATTTAGAACTCACATTCAGCTTTTGTGGTGAAGATGATTTTAGAGACTCAAAACTTCTATCATTTTTATCTGATTTTTTCTTTGAATCAGCATTTTCTACAATAGGTGAAGATGAACGAGACCTTGATTCAAGATCTTTGACACTTCCAAATGTTTTACTAGAGTCATCTTTTTGTCTCTGTTTTGAAGTTGAGCTATGGGTGGAATGATTAGAGACAGGAGTGCTTCTTGTTGAGTGACTTTTTATTCTTTTTGGTGATTTAGATGAATGTGATCGTGATGATTCTGAGTCTGATGAAGATGACCTAGACCTTATGTCTTCACCATGTTTTCTGAGATCAGCTTTAGTCCCTGGTGGACTCCCTGATAATGATCTTGACCTTTTTGCTTTTCTCCTTGGAGGACTGACAGAAGAAGAACTTGAAGTTGACCTATGTTTAGTGACTGGCTTTGGTGAAGGACTATCAGATGAAGAATCTGCCTTTTTCTGTTCTGGACTTGATCTCTTTGATTTTGACTTTTCAGGTGATTGTGACTTACCACCAGTTATCTCTCTACTCTTAGAGGCAGGTGTCCTGGGAGATGAATTTGAATTTGATGTGTCTTTTGGCCTTTCTGCACTAGCTTTTTTCCTTCGTGAGTCTTTCCTTTCAGATGGACTTCCAGAATTTGATCTTTTTCTATCTTCTTTACTGAGAAGTGGACTCCTAGATTTAGATCTTCTACCTCTTCTTTGCAAGTCCTTTCTTTCAAGTTTAGATTGTGAATCAGATCCTTTTCTACCACTTCTATCAACTTGCTTGTTTTCTGAATCTTTCCTTGTAGCAGGAGTCCTAGATTTTTTTTGTTGTGGACTTCTTGATTCAGATTTATCACTATATCTATTTTTTACTTCTTTTCCCTTCCTCTGTGCTTGACTGGAGGTTGCAGATTCCTTACTTTTATTTGTCTTGACCCTTTCTAGACTACCTGACCCAGATCTCCTCCCTCTCTGTTTATCTTTACTTTGACTATCAGACCTTTTCTTATCACTTCTTTCTCTAATAGGACTAGCAGTAACAGACCGTCTATGATCTTTTCTAACAGGACTAGCAGACGCTGACTGTCTTTGATCTCGACGTCTAACTGGTATTTTTTCTGATTTTCTGGAAATAGTTTTCTTCTTTTGTGGACTTTCAGAATCAGAACTTTCTTGTCTTTTAGATGAATTTTCCCGGCTTTTATTTATAGTTTTCTCCTTCTTTGTTGGGCTCTGAGATCGTGATGCTTCATGTCTTCTTGAAGACTTTTCCTTGTTCCTACTCTCTTTACGTTGTGGACTATCAGAAATTGATCTCCTTTTCTGTTTTAGAGATCTGTCACTTCTATCTCCAAGTTTTTCCCTTTTTTGTGAATTTGGGGACTTAATGCTTTTTGATGATACTTCTTTATACTTGTTCTCTTTTTCCCTCCCTTCTTTCTCCTTTTCACCTCTTTTTCTTCTTTGTGGTGAACCATCACTTTCACTTGAACTATCATGTCTTGGCTTAGATTTTGTAGCCTGTTTGATATTTGTCTTTTTTGTTCTAGGTTCACTATCCTCTGATGAAGATGATGAAGAACTGCTGTCATCATCTGAGCTACTTGAAGATGAGCTGTCTGAGGAAGATGTGGAACTTTTTCTTCTGGATTTTGAACCTTGGTTTTCATTAACATTATCATTTTTCTTTTGCGAATCCTTTTTGTCTTTACTTCCAGTTCTCTTGGCAAATTCATTTTCTTTCTGATCTTTCCTTGACTTACTTTCTTTAATTCTATCATCTGATGACCTACTTTTCCTATTATCAGGTGACCTACTTCTGGTTTGATTTGACCTTGACTTATTGTCCATTCTTCTATCATCTGATCTCGTTTTAGTGTCACTTGGGGATCTGCTTTTCCTTGCTTGGTTTGACTTTGACCTACTTTCATTAACTACTGATTTACTCTTTCTATTTTCAGGTGACCTACTTTTTGTATGTTTTGTTTTGCTGTCCCTGTTATCACCAGGTTTCCCACTTTCCTTGGAGCTGTCTTCTGTCCTAGATTTTCTATGGCTTGGTGACCTACTTTCCCTGTGTTTATCTCTAGATCTACTAGTTTCAGAACTCTTCCTTTCTTCTTTCTTGTCTTTTGTTAATGACTTATTATCTGTCTTGTCATCTGTTCCTTTTTCCTTAGATAACCTTTGATCTTCCCTGGATTTTTCTTTAAATCTGCTTGTCTCTCGCTCCCTAGAATACTTCATTCCTGATCCTGGAGCTGGAGATCTGCTGCTGTTTTTATTATTAGAAAAGTTATCTTTTGAAGATTTTCTCTCAGTTTCTCTTGGAGAATTATTATCTGTCCAACTTGATTTGTTTCTTTCCAAGAATTCTTTATCTATTGCAATTTCTTGACGTCTGTTTTGTCTTTGATCACCTCTACCACGTGAACTCCAGATATTATTGGACCCTGAGATATCATTTGCCCGTGTTCTCTGAATATCTCTATTCCCACGATCTCCATCATATTCTCTATAATCTTGTCTTCTACCTCTCAAATTGTCTCTGTCAAAACCCCTACTACCCTCCCTACCAAATTCCCATGGATCGTCTCGATTAAAATCTCTAGGGTCCTCTCTTCTATATTCTCTGGAACCAGCTCTACCATATCCCCTAGGACTATCCCTACCATAATCCCTGAAGTCATCCCTACGATCAAGTCTAACGAAATCATCATGATGATCTATATCATCTGGGTGTCTTAAATCATCATAGTCACCATGATCATTTCTCTTGTAATATCTTGGATCTAGTCTTGGGCTACGGGACCGAGATCTACCTCGTCTGAATCTATCATCAGGTGACCTTGACCTTGGTGGAATAAAATTTGGTGATCTGTCATCCCTCAAGGTTGCATATGACCTTTGTGCACCTTCTAATCTATGTCTGGAATTCCTTTCATTTGACCTTGATCTACGATTTGAGCGTCTATTGGGAGAGTTTTGTCTGGCCTTATTTGATTTTTCTTTACCAGAATCAGTGGCCAATTTCCCACTTAAATTTCTGTCATTTAACTTTGAAGTGTGCTTGTTTTTGTCATATGATCTAGATCTTGACCTTTTTCTATCACGAGAACGAGATCTTTGTTTCTGATCATGTGATTTCCTTAACGGCTGTTGATTTACGCTGGATTTTGTCCTCAAATATCTCTCACGGGATTCATCTGAAGAACTGGAATCTGTACTTGATTTTCTGGACTTGTCTGTCTTGTTTGCTCTTGACCTATTTTTATGTGAACCTGAGCTGCTACTTGATGAACTGCTTGAGGAATCACTTGAAGATGAGCTATCTGAATCAGAATCTGAGGTACCAGATGAACTGTCTCTATGAGATATCTTGGTCTTACTCTTTGATGATCGATTTTCTATTTCTAACCTAAAAATATACAGATATTGTTGAGATTATACTTTTTATAAAAAAATAAATAATGAATTTGATCAAAATATAAGAAAACTGATGATTCCCCTATAGAATTCCAATCAAGAAATGACTAAACTTTTGTGTTTGATTTGTTTATCAAAACCAACAAAAGTCAAATTATTGTCATTTACTTTTAGAAAGAATTAGGAATTTACTGTATTCCAAAATCTAATTGTGTTATAAATATATCAATTGTTTTATGTGTTATGATTTGGTTGGTAGTACATGTAATGAAATTTGCATAAAAGTTATGTTGTCTTATGCAAAATATTTAGTAAAATCAATGATCTCTTGACTGATACTCATCCATAACGATAACTACATGTAAATAATCAACAGGTTCTTGCCGAAATACATGTATAGCCACTTCGCACTGACAGAGCAAAAATCATTAATCAATCCATTATTATAATACAATATGACATGTAATGCAACTTTAAATTTGATGATTTCTGTTGTAAATTCCACCCGAGTCATTGGCAACAGGTTTGTACAAGCCTAGTCGCTATTTACTTATTATTTCAAATGTTTTATTTTGAACATTTTACAAGAATTGCAATAGAATAGAAATAATAGTTCCGAATTTGAAGAGCTTAATCAGTAAAATTACAGTGCAATCCCAAAATAATGGTGGCAACTTTTTAAAACTATTTCTGTTACGCCTTAACTACTACATATATTCTGGGAATATTGGTGTTTTCAATGATGAAGTTTTTAGATGAAAACCATGAATTTGTGTTAACAAAAACATACATATTCATCTTTATGTTTTGTTGAGAGCTAACAACTTAATCAAATGTCCTTGAAACAGTAATTTTGTCTGGACAATATAATGAAAAGACCAGCTACATTTCAGTTGTGAAGGTTCCATTGATTTTTATTTGCATCTGGCAACTTTTTTTTTAATTCTTAAAACTTATTATCCACAATGGCATGTTATGTTTGGGGTACATGGTAAGGTAGATAATTAATATATTATAGATCTTATTAAGTTTAGGCCATGTCTAACAAATACATGTATATAAACCTAAAAAAAAAAAACTCAGTTGCTATCAAATTACCCTTTCTTTTTTAAAAGTTATCTTTCATGTCTATTGCAAAAATATATGAGCCTGAGGTGTAAGCATTTTTAGAAAATCATGAAAATATGACCTGTATTTAAATTTTCTTTATCAAATATAATCCCAATAATTAATTACATCTATACTGTATTACAATGGGACAAGGGTTAAAATATCTCTTCCACATGACAAACCTGTAACTATTGTGATATTTTTTGACAATTTGCAGTGAAAATATATCATGTGGACCTGAGAGCTACAGTTCCGCAGCTAGCAAACAAGCAAATTTTACACAGAACCAACATATTTCAAAAGTAACTTGACTATAAATCTACTCAATGATGTGTAAATGATGTAAGTGAATTTTTTAAAAATTTTAGATAAAGATGTGATTTATTTCTTTAATAAAATGCTCCACTCGGTGCAGCTTGATATGACTGCAGAGGTCGAACCCTGAACAGTTGGGGCAAGTATGGACACAACATTCAAGCTTGATACAGCACTGAATTTGGATTGTGATTAAATATTTGACACAGCATAGGTTTCTGACACAGAATGAATGTGGTCTAAGAACTTAATTTTTTTAAATTTACCTATTCAAACCATATCATTATTATTTGCTTTTATATATAAATCAGAAATAACCAATTTAAAATGGAAAATTTTAAAGAAAAAAAAAATCCCTCCCCCAAATTTTTTGAACCCCCTTATGATTCATCGCCCCCAAACTCAATCCCAGCCTTCCCTTTGTGGTATGGTACCTTGCAGTACAATTTCAGAGAGATCCATACACTTGAACACAAGTTATTGTCTGGAAACTAGAAAAATGCTTGTTTTTAGGCCCCTTTTTGGTCCCAAATTCCTAAACGTTTAGGGCAATTACCCCCAAACTCAAACCCAGCCATCCCTTTGTGATATGGAACCTTGTAGTACAATTTCATACAGATCCATACACTTACACACAAGTTATTGTCCTGAAACTAGAAAAATGCTTGTTTTTTTGCCCCTTTTTGGCTCCTAATTCCTAAAATTTTGAGGCAATTACCCCCAAAATCAATCCAAACCTTCCCTTTGTGGTATGGTACCTTGCAGTACAATTTCAGAGAGATCCATACACTTGAACACAAGTTATTGTCTGGAAACTAGAAACATGCTTATTTTTTTGCCCCTTTTTGGCCCCTTATTCCTAAACATTTTGGGCAATTACCCCCAAACTCAATTCCAGCTTTCCCTTTGTGATATGGAACCTTGTAGTACAATTTCAGAAAGATCCATACACTTACACACAAGTTATTGTCATGAAACTAGAAAAAAACTTGTTTTTTGCCCCTTTTTTGGCCCCTAATTCCTAAAATTTTGAGGCAATTGTCCCCAAAATCAATCCCAGCATTCCCTTTGTGATATGGACCCTTGTGGTACAATGTCAGAGAGATCCATACACTAACACACAAGTTATGTCTGGAAGTTACAAAAATGCTTATTTTTTGCCCCTTTTTGGCCCCTAATTCCTTAACTGTTGGTACCATAACCCCCAAAATCAATCCCAACCTTCCTTTTGTGGTATTGAACCTTATGGTAAAATTTCATAGAGATCCATTCACTTAAACTAAAGTTAGAGTGCGAAAACCAATGTGTCTTCGGACTTCGTTGAATGATGAGGCTGATTATACAATCTTTCTAAGGAACAGTCAAGGCATTTTCTTTTACTTTTAGCCATTAACATACATCAAATGATTTCAACATTCCACTAAATAAAACTATTACTTCATAAAATCATGATTAAAATTATCCATATTAAAGTTTGACATATCTGTAGCAGTATATATAATTTATTGTTTTCTGTTTGGTATTAAATTATAATAAAGATCCATTTTGTTACATCTTGTGATCCATTTATTTGGCAATCGCCAATGGCAGTCAGCAGGGTTTAAGAACATCCGTTGTTCGACCTGTTAGTCAAATGCGTTTTGTTTAAATATACTTTTTCACTTTTTTGGTCTTTTGGAAAATGTTGTTTGTGCTGTTTTTAGACCCCTCTACCAAGAAATTTGTTTTGCATTCACACGTATAAAAATTGCGGTTTTTATCCAACGCAATTATAGGTTTGAACGTTGTTTTCAATTTAGACTTAAGTATAAATATATATATATACATGTTTGTACATCTTGTTTAATTCCTAAACGTATGTCAAAGGTTGTTAATTTTTTCATCCCCATTTAGCCCCTGCTCTTATAAGTATTTTAATGTTATTTAATATATCTATAAACACATGCTTTCATTTGTATATATTCAAAGTTTAATCTGCACCATATTTTTTCCTTGGGATACAATGCTATTTTTTTCTAAGTTTTTTAGGGGAGGTTTTAAAAGAATGCCATTTGTCAATTAAAAGCATAAAATTTAAATGTGAGAACTTAAGTAGCAAAACACATTTTTTTATTCAAATACCAATTGAATTATTAAATGTTTTTAGATGTATAAATCAAAATATTTATATTTTCATTAATAAAATTCGGGAATTTCAAAATGAAGTATTTTTTGGGGGGATTTGATGAAGACTGTATGGACCATGAAACAAACCAATTGACAATTTTCCGCCACTGCAGACTTTGAACTTTAATTAAAATTGTGACTGTTATTTTTTATTTATACATTTGATTTTGGGCGAACGGAACAGATTCTCCATTAAGGCCATGGTGAATTTTTAAATATGAAAGTTGTTGTGCAATAAAATTGGTTTTTAATAGCTGAAGAATAATATAGCCTTCAAAGTGGGTTTATATGAACATCAAGATTTTTTTTTGCATGTTTTATAAGCCATTTTCTGTTTGGCAGTTAGTATTTTCACATCTGTAGGTCCAGAAATTATTGTAGTGTTTTTCAACAAATATTTGATGCTCGAAATTTTTAATTCAATTTTAACATGTTTAAGGAAAAATGAGGTGAAATCATGATCTTGATAGATAAATGTCAATGGTTTCAGCAAAGGTATCACTCTAATGAATTGAAATTCTACTTTGGACCAAATTTTGGGGACTTTTGTGACATTTTCACCCCCTTTTTTTGCAATACGTATTTTGTATCAAATAAATGCAGATTGTTGCCTTGGTTATATCAAAAAGAGATTATATTTCACCATTTTAACTATTGGAAATCAAATCTATGGAAGATGCTGTTTCCATACATATGCACATACATAACACAAACATTAAGCTTTATTAGTTAGAAAGCAAGGGAAAGAGAACGGTTAAAAATTATGAATGTCAATTTTAAGTTTTTTCCTAACCGTGTATTGCTACCTTAATATCTTTCAATGCAAATGTTTGCAAATGGCTGTTGACTATGAATCATTAAAAGCTATTCAAAATAAAAGCAAAGCTCTATTGAAATTGATTTAACATAAAGATTTTATTTGTTTAACAGGGGGAATATACACTAATAAAAGTTATATATTCATGGACTTACAATTGAAATAATGTGTGATTAACTTCTTGAAAATTGAATTATTATGATTTCGAGACAGAAAATAGGCACACAAGTCCAAAAAATGATGTCTTCTATATAGAGTGGATATGCTTTACAAATTTACCATAATTTAACAATCTTTGACACACAGTTCCGGAAGGGAATAAGAAGTTTGTACGGAAATAAATGTGACATCATTATGGATTAACCACCAAGACTTCTTTACGGAAGTAACAAATTTGATTTGCAGTTAATTGAAATTGTTCATTCACTGGTGTAAATCTAAATAACATAAATACATGTAACACACCAAGGTTGATTTGCATCAAACAATTTTTTTTTAAATATGTTGAGTAAAGGCTTTGACATCATTTAAAGAAATATACATGTATGGTATTTGAATGAAAAATTTCTGTTCCATAATAACAAGAAAATTTCCACCAACAAGAGCAACTGGTGGAAAACCAGGTTGACATGATGTTCCTTTTGGAGGCCTGGAAAAGCAGAGTAACAGATGTCTCCTTCGTCCACTTGCTGGCATGAGCTCTGACTCTTGAGAATGTTCTTTGACTTTGTGACAAGCTGCACTTAAATTTTGTTGGGAAAACAATGATGAGAAACATGTGGAATGTGAAGGACTCACAACTTATCAGTGACAGTTTCAACCTAACCCTAAACAAAAACAATTGTTAACTGATCCCGGTATGAAAAGGCGGAAGCAAGTTAACTCATACCATTGTAAACTCGTACCAACGTAAACTCGTACCACTGGGAAGTCGTACCAATCAGAACTCATACCATTAAAAATATATTCAAAAATACGAATGTTTTATGATTTCTTTTTGGTAAAACTTAAAAGTTGAATTACTTGAATTTTATACTAGATTTTAATGAAAACTTAGACAAAAATATGAATGTAATTTCTTAATTACCATGCTAATTAATATATTAAATTCCTTTGATTGTGTGATTATTGGTTGATTATTAACTAATCAACTTGTTTAATCATATCATTAAATTTTGATTGTTGTTATATAATTTAACAGCTTGGAATTAAATGTATAATGTTTATTATTAAATGCAATTCCTGATTATCAAAACACAAGCTGACATGAGTTGTCTCAAAGCCCAATTTCCTCATAAAATGGGGCATGTATGTGAGGTTCCTCATAATCACAACGGAAGACGACAATTGTATATGGTGCCATTTAGTTAAACATGTCAGGTAGCTGAATCGATATGACAATGAGTAATGAGCCATGCTCCCCTCCACTATTAACTGGAGATATTTTCACCATCTTACACTTGCTTGAGCATCAAACCGCAGACTGGGATCTCTCAGCATGGAAAGGAAATTACAAACTTGTAAAAAGATGAAAGAAATCCAAAAATGTGGAGCATGTCGAGACAACAACCACAACAACAAAGACTCAGAAAAGGTCATCGAAAGCCAGGGCTGACAGAAACAAACGCCGCCTTGAAGCATTCATTGCTAGGAAATCCATGCCACCGATTAATGAGATAGGAGATGCCGCTCATAAAGAAGACCTAGAAAATGACCCCGACGCCATTAACACCGGTGAGCTGGTAGACACTACAGCTCAATCCCTAGAGGAATCGAACGCAAAGGAACAGCCGGCAGAAACTTCCCTCGAAGACAGAAACCTACCCTGTACAAAACCTAAAGATCCTGCCTGCTTAACAGGTGCCGAGGGTCGACTTACGACCATTGCAGGATAGGAAAAAACAACGACACCACAAAAACATAGACATTAAATAAGTTGGTACGAGTTAACAATGGTATGAATTTACCGTGGTACGAGTTAGCAGTGGTACCAGTTTTTTTTTAGTGGTACGAGTTTACAATGGTACGAGACTTGCATTTCTCACTTTGTTAAGTTTTCTCTACAATGCACAAGCTCATGAAACCATATTTTTTTCGATTTATGTTGATTAATTCTGCATCTAAGTGTTATCTATTCTGCTAATTATATCATGTATGCACGTGTTTTGTTCCTGCAACATGTCTGTTCGCAAATGATAATTTTTCCCTGAAAATTTTCAGATTTTTCGTCTTCAAAAATGTTTGTTTTACACGTGAAATGAGTCTGTTGAAAAATCAAAGTTACATTTAAATAATAAATAAAGGATTAAATCAAATATATATGGCTTTGATCGTGTAATTTGTCCCTGTTGTTACACAATATAACAAAAAATACCTCGGCATATTGTAGTTCAACGAAGTTCATCCGTTCTCGTTTTCTGCTATAAAAAATACACTTCCGGTTTAAAATATTTTTGACAACTTGTGTACGTCCCGCGGCATTTTCTTGTATCAACAGCTGATCTCATGGCTTTATTCACAGAACAAGAAAAATATTCAAATGATTGACAATTGCATACTGAAATGTAAACAAGATTTCTATAAAAAAAACATTAAATGTTATATAAGTTTTATTAAAATATCAACTATCCCAGTTTTCATGAAGCAAATGCGTACGATTTGGTAAAAATTGTAAAGATCAAAGAGAAAAAACAATAGATCAAAGGAAAATACCGCAAAATAAGCATGAAAATGCGTGAGACTTGACAGCACTGCTAACCTAAAGCACACCCCTCTGTTTGTCGGCTACCCTGTCATAAATCTATTGTATTCAATTTGTCAGAATTGCGTGTTGAAATGGTAAAAAGGGTCACGATGATAATAAAGTAAGGATAATATATATGTTGCAATGCAATTGAATTCTGACAGTGCCGTTGTAATATTGTAATAAAAATGAAAACAACACGTTACAAATTCCATGCTTCCGAAGCGCTTTTAAATTTCTGGATTTACCTTCATGATCAGGAACGCTCACAGCCGAATATTTGAAAGCCAATGATGTATAAGAACAAAAGTTCCCCACTCTTCGAATTGCAAACGATAATTATACATCAACATTCAGTTATGTTCACATAAGTGAAAACTAATCTATGATATTGTTGTTATTGTGGATATGATATTGTCGTGATATCGATTAGAAATGATTTATTAGTTATTATTAATGTAGCTTGCATGATTTCTAACCTCGGTGAAACAAAATGACTATAAGATACAGTGAGAATATCATGAGAATATCGGATATGTTCTTTATGTCGTAACTACAATACCCTTCCCTTTTCACGAATGTGACTTACCGAATTAGACTATTTACCGGATTTGTAATAACATAAGCAACACGACGGGTGCCACATGTGGAGCAGGATCTGCTTACCCTTCCGGAGCACCTGAGATCACCCCCATTTTTTGGTGGGGTTCGTGTTGTTTAGTTTTAGTTTTCTATGTTGTGTCATCTGTACTATTATTTGTCTGTTTGTCGCTTTTATTTTTGGCCATGGCGTTGTCAGTTTGTTTTCGATCTATGAGTTTGACTGTCCCTCTGGTATCTTTCGTCCCTCTTTTTCATCTATGTAGCAGAAAATGAAATCATAGCATTGGATTAAAAGTTTTCCTGTCTACACAGTGCAGGAGTCCTTGAAATAACCCTGTAACACACTGGTCCCAGGAGAAAATTTATGAAGGGAGTATAACGACGTTATGCACGATAAATATTGAGTCTCAATCGGCCGGTAACGACGTAATTTGACGTTTTCCACAGATAATCGAGGACGTCTGTTCTTTTTCTTCTTTTGGTCGGCAAAGTTGTTTGTGGTCAATATAGATACATCTATATGTGTGAGTAAGATTAGAAGGTATGAAATGTAATAAAATGCAATTATGTCCAATTTAGTTCCGAAAGAAGCCCCAAATTTTGATTTAAATGAAGCAGTGGAGATTTTGGTTACAATTGATTGAGTCCTACTTAAAAAAAGTTTATTAAACACGATTAAATAATCAACACTTCTCAAATTTTAAAGTCTGATCATAATTTAAATTTTGAAAGATAATAACTGTAACTGTTTCATATTCTGCAATTATTATATTAAATTTTATATGGTCTTACTGTTACATTAAAAAGGTATTGGTCACATAGGCGGATCCAGGGGGCGCCTGGGGGGCCCGGGCCCCCCTTTTGTGGGAAAAATTTGGTTGATTATATAGGGAATCACTGAAGCATGACTGAAGCGGGGCCCCCCTTAGGTCAGTCAGCGCCCCTCCTTATGAAAAGTTCTGGATCCGCCACTGGGTCATAATTTGAATCCCCTGCTATTACCATAACCACATTGTCTTTCCGACGACGCTTTGCATAAAATCATCATTTATACCGCAAATGTCATCATTTATATAAGAATTTGAGTAGCTTATAGTTTGGAGCAATTTATTTATATTTTTAATTTCCAATGGCTTATCTCTTCACTTAAATGGTTATCACAGTTGTATGTAACACGATAGGTTTCGGAGTAGGCGTTTGTGGAAGTAATTTGGCGTATTTTGAGATTCTGGTCATCGGATTTTAAGTTTTAAGTTTTACTATATTTCTGGTTTATGGACAAATTTTTATACATTTTATTTAGATAGGTTCATTTATTAAAAATTATTTATGCGTTGTTTTTCTTATCTTTTGTATATAACATATGAGAGTATATATATAATATTTTATTCTGTTTTGTTCTCTAATTTTAAAATTAATGAGGTCGAACCGTACTTTTTATTTTCAAAGCATTTAAAAAAACACAATAAAAATGTTCAAATGAGGAATTCGAAAACCTTTTGAATCAATTTGACAAGACATTGATTGCGTCCCGAACCGAGATAACGTTCATTACGTACGAAAATCGTTGAGTGGACAAACTTGCAAGACATTGGATTTGTTCAAAAACAAGGTCTTTTTGAGTAAGCAAACTATCAAAAAGTATGTGATCGTTTTAATGCGTTCAAATACAATTAGGGAAAAGTACTATGTCGTATACTTGAAATCGAATATTTTTATCAATGATGTCGCAAATGACGGTTTACAGGTTAAACAGCGACAGAATTCGACATTGGACATTCTGCAAGACAGTTGCGTTTTTATTTGTGGCGTGAATGTTGTAAAAAAAATATTTTTGGGAATGATATATCCATGTACTTTTGTGAGCATCGATTATCAAAACGAAATATCATATCAACATACATTAAAAAAACACATAAATTTTGACAACTTAACATTTTCTGAAATCTGACCATGGTGAAAACTTTTAATTTTTGCAAAATTCGGTCTGGTAATCGGATTAGCGTAAATTTGAGAATTAAATCATAAAGGAAATATGCCATTGAAATTTCATACAAATTTTCACGAATTTCACCTTTTTTCCTGAAGAGCTCAAACATCTGTTGTTGTATTTTACCTTAGTTGCTTATCATTGTGTTGTGTATGACTGAGCCGCATAGACGCAATAACGTGCTTAACGTCAATGCATAATTGGTTTCCTCTGGCACGTCAATAGTAACAATCTTTATATCTTATTAATTTCTACATCCGATTCAAATTACAACGATGTCATATTATTTCTGGGATCCAGCTGAAAACGAAGAATAGTCGTGAATGAAAAATTACCGACTTATGATTTTCAGCTTTATTTTCCTTTGAACAGTATTTGATTATTTGTAGGGTTTTAAAATGAACTTTCTGTTTACAAACGAAAACGCGATATTGATTTGGAGTTTTGTCAAACTGAGAGTCTTTGATAGTATTGGCAGCTTGCGTGGGACATTTTGAAAAGGCAAATTGTGGTCAGTATCGGCGACATTACAGGAATTATCTATAATCTGATAGAGTGCCAGTCTTCTCTTTCTCTCACTTTTCTCGTAAACTTGTGCTTTCTATTACAATCTTTTGAGTACAAGATATTTGAGATACTATGCTAAACTCGACTGAGTTTTCCATTGCCTGTAGAGATTTGGTCACTATAGTAATAATTCAGTCTAGATTACTATAAACTACGACGGATTCGGAAAATTATGAACGGAACTTTTTATCTACGGAGAAAGACATTCGAGCGAATGATTTTCGTCAATTTTAATAAGAAGTTTTCCTTCAAAACAACTTATATTATAAATAAAAAAAACAATGGGGGGATTCCTATCCTGTATACCGATAAATGAATGAGAACCACAAACAAGCCTTCGTATCAAAAAGTAAAATAACAAAAATACCGAACTCCAAGAAAAATTTAAAACGGAAAGTCCCTTATCAAATGGCAAATCAAAAGCTCAAACACATCAAACGAATGAAAAACAACTGTCTTACTCCTGAATTGGTACAGGCATTTCCTTATGCAGAAAATGGTGGCTTAAACCTGGTTTTATAGCTAGCTAAACCTCTCACTTGTATGACAGTCGCATAAAATTCCATTCAATTGACAACAATGCATGTGAGAACAAAACAAACAGACATAATAGGTAAAAATGCCAAAAATACGGGTACAGCACTCATCATTGTGTTATAATCTTAATCACTATAAAACCAACAAATATGTCAACAAAGAAAAACAAAAGGGCATACAGACAAAGCACATAAGCAAAATGAAAGACAAGAATACAAAAAAAATGACCTTCAGCACAATAACACAATGGCAGGATGTATAAGTACCGAGCCATGTCTAAAGGATATTACCAAAAATGGACTAAACAGTAAAGGTTAATAATTTACAAAGGCAAATGAAAGAATCAACCCAACGCACTGAAACTTACGATCGGTCTTATTATAATATCTAACAAGAAGACACAATTACGATTATATTCACGTCATTTGAACTCAGTTGTCACATTGGAAACCATAACACATCTCCTTCAAATATGGATCTGTTTTGACAAAAATATTTAATATAGAAATAATTAAAGGAGCTGTGGTATGATTTCTACCGAGACAACTGTCAACCAAAGTTCAAATGAAGTGTAGATAAGCAATAATATCGGGGGAAAGCAAATTATTCTTAACTCGATAGTAAAAAAAACACTCAAATCATTTGTTGTAATTATGCAACTTAATGCTACCTTATAAGTAAGACCTGATGTCCTTATTCAAATTCTTTGTCTGAAATTTCAGAAGAGTTTAAAACGAGGAGATGTAGTAGAATTGCCAATGAAACAACTATCTATCATAGGACAGTTTTAGACACTAAATCGTCGGCATTTTAATCTATCATAGGACAGTTTGAGACACCAAATATTCGGTATTGTAAGACACAACTATCTATCATAGGACAGTTTGAGACACTAAATCGTCGGCATTGTAAGAAACAACTATCTATCATAGGACAGTTTGAGACACTAAATCGTCGGCATTGTAAGACACAACTATCTATCATAGGACAGTTTGAGACACTAAATCGTCGGCATTGTAAGACACAACTATCTATCATAGGACAGTTTGAGACACTAAATCATCGGCATTTTAAGACACAAGTGCACACTGTCTGGACATACTAGAGACTGATACTTGTAACGAATCTCCATGAGAACAACGCTTCTGTAAATTAAATGTCCGCTTTCATTGGTTGAAAAATTAAATAAATTTTATATACCATTGTCCTAAATAGCAGAATATCAGAAATGCCTACCGAATAACACTCCAAACCATAGAAAAAGAAGATACAATGTATCTCGTGAGGTTTTTCACAGATATTATTGCTTCTAATAATGAATAAAAATAGATCTCTAACAAAAAAAATCAAACGTGTCATGTTTTTAAAATAGGCCGCGTAAACAAGAGTTTTATATAAAAATGGATACGATGATTTTTTTTATGAGGATGGGGATTTCCCATGTATACGTCAATGAGACAGCAACCTAACGACACAAATAACCAAAAGGCATAAACAGGTTCAATCTAATTAAAATATAGATCTCTGATTTCGTTATCCTTATTTTTATGACTGAGCACGCGAGTTAAGATATATATGAGTTTTAATCAGATTGATAAAAAGGTTAATCCGCCGTATCATATACACCTGACCACTATTATATTGGCTATAAATAGAGAAAATTGACAGAGCAAACATTTTCAGAATGCTGATCTCTACCCATTGTTTATTTACGTCAAAACTGTCAGAGGAATTCTATAGGGGTTATTGCCCTTAAATGACGAATTTTACCATTTTAGCCTGATATCTTGAAATATATAAAAGATAGCGAGAAACTGTATATAGCAAAAATAATCAGTAAGATAAGATCTATACAAATAAGTCAGCTGGTCGAAATCGTCAGATGACTCCTTATTAGAGTTATTGCTCTCAAATGACGATATAATTGGACTTCATAATTGCCCGAAGCTATACTTATTTACCATGTTTACCTATAACTTTTGATCTACACTAAATAACATCATTCTGTAAATGATGCCTCAGAGATGAATTATTATGAATTAATCAGATGTGTGTGTTTTTTTAAAAAGAAAACAATAAGAACAAATTATGTATAAATCGAAAACCCAAGGTGGGCATATTTTGCGTGTAATATTGGCGAAATAATGATCTGTGTAATTTATCAGTAATTAAGCGTCATTTATCAGCATTTCACATACTGAGAAAATAAGCAAATTACATAACTTTAAACAGAGACATATAAAAACCAGTTTTTTAATATATATATATTTCTGGTTTAAATTGTTAATTACTTGGTCTAACCTCCAGCAAAATGCGATACAATGTAAAGGTTTATTCCCCATTGTATTGTGTCCCCTTGAACTGAGATTACCATGCATATAGTTTTTTTGTTAAATTGCATACTTTTATTCAAGAAAACCTAGAGGTATTGAAAATTATTGCAATTCATATGCAATAAATGTTTTGAACTCAGAAAACTATATCATTATAGTACAGATATGTTTTTATGTAACCCATTAAGAATATTTGCCAGTTAATATTATATATAACTGTTATGATTTTTTACTTATATGCGTATGGCTCTGGTCTGGCTGTGGTTTAAGATCTTAGAATTGAGGTCATTATATTCATATTTATATATGATTATCAAAATTGTCGTGTCAATTATCAAAATCATTGTAATAAATTACTTAGCTCTTCATGGGCCCTTTAATTGGAATAAAAATATCTTATATATCTTATTATCTATAGTAGTCTCAGTTTTAACAGTGTAAGGTGTTTATTTATTTGATACTTGATTTTTACTTTTTTGAAAGAAATGACATTTCCAACTCCTCTTTTCTCAAAAAAGGTGAAACCATAATTCAGTACTTCGCTCTTTGAAATTTCCTATCATTTCAACCATATAAAAATCATGAGATAGTATCGAAAATTTTCCAGGGTAAACATTTTAAAGCAGTATAAAAATTGAAATATTCAAAGAAGATGTAAACAAAAATCAACCGTTTTAGATAGTAGAATATAAACTTTTTGACTAGGATTATGAAACACTCCTCCTCCCCTTTTGAAGAAAATGTTTGGAGACAAAGATATTGAAAACAATCTATAAAGTTACATTTAAGTCCTTTCATCTATCATGAAAAATAATATCATCCATAAAGCATCATAAAATGTTTTTTTATGTCAATTTCGTCATGCAACTTTAAATCTTTACACGTAAAATATACCCAAATTATGTATTTTGACTCTCATCAATAAAGTATTCGAATTCAAATTTTAATAAAAAGCAGAATTTTTTTTTTACCGAAGTCTGAGACTACTAACAAATGTGTTATAGTAGTCTCAGCCGAAGTTAACAAATTATACGTCCAACCAGGTATGCTACAAGTCTGTACTATAGTTAACAAAAATATTACTTTTAATGACCAATCAAATCGATGCTAACATAACTTTCCCGCCAAGTTTGTTTACTTTCTTTCTTCTACACATCCTACTCAGTGGATCGGTGAACTGAACAACAGAGAAGTGACTGTACCAAGAGTTGTCATAACTGGTTTAATATTATATGAAAGTATTTTTCATGATTTGCAAGTACAGGGAATAAGTGTCCAGGTAACGGTAAAAAAGTTTGTTTATGTGGCAGAATATTTGACTCGATCTCATCATCTATAAATTATGTTTTTTTTTATGTCAATTTCGTCATGCAACCTTAAATCTTTAATTAAAACGGGTTGCAAGCTATTTGCTTTTTTTTCTGTCAAAATAATGAATCATTTGTCGCGAGTTAGGGCATATCTTGCTCATTTTGAATTCCTTTTTGACAAATGCCTTCACCAGTTCATCAGGTTGGAGATCAAGCACTAACCAATCTTATGATGGATGCTTTGATGATTAAATAAATGTGATGGGGTTTTATTATTGAAATTTCAGGTAAAAAAATGTCTGCAATTGTTCAGAGAAAATTGGAATTTCCCATCAGAAAGTCGACTCGTCTTAGAAGTTCTAAAGATGCTGATAGTCAAGAAAATACAGTAAAACCAGAGTCCCCAAGAAAAAGAACAAAAGAAGGTATACAACATGGTTTTATTAATACTAAGATGATAAATACTTGAAGGTCCAGGGTTTATACATTTACTTAAACAGGTTGTCTGCAAAATTAGGAACTATTCCCCGAGTAACAATCCCTTGATAATGATTTAGTAATCAAGTGGCATTGCTAAAGTTGAACTTTTCTTAGTTGAGTCTTTTTTACTTAAAATAGAACAACTTCTTCAAAAGAACTATAGTTTTATTTTGGGTTTTTAAAAAAGTTTAAAGCCTTAAAAATTGTCAATTTTTCAAAGTTTTTATAGGCCTGTTACTTTTCAGTAAACCAGATTAGGGCTATTCATCTATTTGAGAAATTTTGTGCATTTTTACATGAATATGTGCAATTTCGATCATATAGTGTATTAAAAAAAAGTACATTGGAAAAGTATCCCTCATTTGGGGAACTAATCCCCATTTGGCAGGTTATATTTGGGATATAAATTTACAATGCAAAGAATTCTTAAGTTATGAACAATACGCTAACCTACAGATGCTACTATTGATCTAAAGCAAATGCACTTTTCAATATTTGTGCAAAATTAAAAACTTAAAAATTCTTTGCATTGTAAATTTATATCCCGTTTGGGTGATTGGTCCCAACTTGTTTAAATAAATTCAGGACATTTTAAGACTTGGAGATTTATAGTTTGACACATTGTAAAGGCATCTGTTCAATGTTGAACTGGCTTGGATTTTGTGAGCTACTGAGGATGGGATGTTGTCTCATTGAGGTATATTAATTTATGATAAAATTGAACCTTACAATAAATGCAATATTGTAGGACTTTGAATCCTAACAACTGGTGTGCCCCAAATAGGGGGGGTGGAACGGTTTTATGACTGCTGTTGCAATTTTATTAATAGTGTTTTATCTGTTAACACTTTTTGTCAGGACAAATTTTGTTTGTTAACCTGATATTTGTTTTTTTATGAGTAATAATGCTAAAAATATTATGTGAATATCCTATTTTAGAAATTTTTTAAGAAGTTTAGCAATTGCAAAAATATTTGAATTAATTTTCAAATGAATTATTTACATTTTAAGGGAGCAGTAATACATTTTTAGGAATTGCATATACCATGATACATTGTAGTTATAAAAAAAATAACGATTTCACTTCCTATCCCAAAACATATCAGAATTAGGAAGGGGAAACAATTGTTTAATCCTATCCTTTGTCCGACTACGAATTCACTTACTGAGTAATTCACAGATAAAAGAAATTTAGAACTTCACGCTCACTACTATTTTTCTCCAGAAAACAGCGACAAGAATTTACAGTGTTCTCCAAGTAAACAGAAGAAAGGGCTAAGATCAACAAGACAACAGACACCATCAACTGACAGGTAGGAGCACTTTTTCCAAAGTGACATTTGTTGCAGACAAGCAGCATTTTGTAACATTTCTCATGCTCAGCAAAAAATTTTTTTTTTTAAATGAGACAATTATCACATATATTGAAAAACTGGCAGTTGGAATGTATTATACTTAGAATATATTCCCTAAATGCATGTTCATTTGAGAATAGAGCCTTCATGAGTTATGTCAAGGTATTACCTGTGTTTTTCATAGTCCTCATGAAAATATCAGTGCTTGCAACACACACAAGTAAAAATTTGTACTTACTTTAACTTTCTTTAAGTTGTAAGATGAATTGTAGATTTCATTTTGAGTTTGGCTTGCATAACTTTTCAAGTTTTAAATTTCAAAAGTGGTCGACTCATCTAAAATCTTTTAGAAATACTTTCTGTAGAAATTAATTTCCTTCAAATATGAAGTGCTGTAACAATACACTGACCCTGTTATGATGCAGTTCAATTTTGGAAACAAAAATCGGTTTGTAACCGACACAGAGAAATTCTTTGGTTGGCCGACAGAACATTAATTAAATACCAATCCAATCTGATTTAAAAAAAACTGTAAAATGAAACATGGTAATCACCCATTATAGCTATGAATAAACATTTTTCATTGACAAATATTCATGACTGACATGTCACTGTTGATGTGAATTTAAAGTTTTAACTGTCTTTTATTCAGAAGTGCTAAGACATCGAGCACAAGACAGAGATCAGAAACACCAACAACTGGCAGACGTAAAGTTGAAACACCAAATAGGAGAAGTGCCAGACAGAGAAATGCTGAGACACCAATCAGGGGGAAAAATGGCTTATCGGACTCTAGTGAAACAAAGACCAAGCTGAAGCTAAAAAAAGGAGAGACTAATGAAAAAATGAACACAGATATGTGGGAACTTATATCTACATCATCAAGTGGTAAGGCTATACAAGACTGTGATCTGTAAGCTCCACATGTGCTTAGAAGTCAATATCTCAAGGAAAAATGCTTTCTTTCAAAGCAGGTCATCATTTTGACTCTAGTGGATAGTTTTTTCATTAGCAATCATGCCACATCTTATTTCTATATTGAACAGCTGACACCTACAAGGAGATCAGTACAGCCCTAGAGTCAGCTTCAATGGTTCCTAGATATTCATTGACAACTCATTCATTTCTGAAGGAACATGCAAGGGAGTTACCAAAATCTGATAAATCGATAAGCACAAACAGAAAAAAAAATTATGAAATCATCACTTGCATCTCCTGCACATTTGAGATCAAATTTTGCATGAATAAATATTTTATTTTTCATTAAGTAAATGATTTACATAGATGATTTTATTCAATGATTATCACATGAAAATATTGAAAATGTGCTTGATTTTTGTGTTATCTGCTTGAATCATGTATAGACCAAACTGACAATTTCTGTTCATTTGACAGATTTCAGGTTTTTTTTCTTATTGCATACATGAATTTAAACCAAACTGATGAACAGCCTTTGCACTTGACTTGAAGTTATTATTTGATGACATTAATAGATGTTGAGTGGTTTCTTTTAGATGATGAAAATTCAATGCCAGCTTCTTCAAAGTCAAAAGGTCAAAGAGAAGTCGTTGCTGAAAGTAAAATCACTGAGAGTATGTTTAGCATTATAATGTTCAAAGGAAAATTATCTTGTTTGGTAATAGATCTTGTGAAACATACATTACTTGTGAATATTATGATAAAGATCAGCCCAGAATTTAAATATTATTTTCACTTTGCACTCCTTTCAAAGAAATTCTGGCTTTAGTTGAATTGTGTTGGTATTCAAAGTGATATTGTAATTGCTTGTAATTTTCTTATATGGTACAAGTACATTATGTGATATTGTAATGTTCATAATGTAAGTGAGTTATATAAATTTATTTGAATTTTTCAGAGTTCCCTTTCTCACCAAAGAAAACCGTGGAACCCTTCCGATCACCAGAAGGGAAAAGTTTACCGTCACCGAGCATTGTACCACAACAAGTTATCATATCACCTGAGTACCCACCATCTCCTAAAAAACATTTATTATCACCAAGGGGATCTGATCATCCCCTATCACCAAGAAAAGACCTATCGTTAGACCATTTCTATTCTCCGAGGAGAAATCTCTTGTCTCCTAAAAAGTCAGATTTATTACTTTCTCCTCGGAAAGTAATGTCTCCATCTAGAAACGAGAATCAGTTCTCATCACGTAATTTAATGATGTCACCTGGAACGATGATGGGTAATCTGAAGCTGTCGTCTCCAGTACGAGTTCCTCTGTCACCAAGAAAGATGGATTACAACATAATGTCATCACCAGGCAAATCTCAAGGTGGTCTGTCATTGTTTTCCCAGGGTTCACCAGTCAAGTCCCTGTTTTCACCAACCAATTCACTCAAATTAGAAAAACAGGAAGGTAAGATTCTATATTATTATTCACAAAACTGAATTGACAAAAAATTCTCAAAACAAAGACGCTGCATAAAAAATAATGTTTTAGAATGAATGTAAAGTTTGAATTTTCATTGAAAGGGGACTCTTAAACTTTAGTTTCGTGTTCCTAAACAAGCAGAATTCCATTGAGTTAAATGTCATGAATTATGGGAGACGGTGCTATTTAAATCCCATGGTGTTATTTGAAAATATTGAGAACATTGTGTTGATTGGAAATAGTAATGCTGAAAGTAGACAAATGTTGAAATGCTTTAGTCTTTGACTTTAAGATTCTATATTATTATTCGCAAAACTGAATTGACAAAAAATTCTCAAAACAAAGACTCTGCATGAAAACTAATGTTTTAGGATTAATGTAAAGTTTGAATTTTCATTGAAAGTGAGCTCTTTAACTTGAGTTTCTTAAACCTAAACAAGCAGATTCCATTGAGTTATATGTCATCAATTATGGGAGACGGTGCTATTTTAAATCTTGAGTTATTTGAAAATATTGAGACCATTGTGTTGATTGGAAATAATAATGCTGAAAGTAGACAAATGTTGAAATGCGATTGTCTTTGACTTTTTGCATCCATTTGCTGTCTGTTGATGTATACCAGACATCTCTTTTTGTTAAAGAAATTCAATTTGAAGCCTAGGTAGTTTGGATTATTTTGGTGGCAGATGTTAAATGTATTTTACTATTTAGCCAAATTGTTATAGAGAGAGCAAACATGGGAAAAATATGTATGTTTCTTAAGTAGGTGCCCTTTATATATGGTGCTTTTACGAGCTAAATGTACAGTTAATGGACATTTTTAGAGAGTCCTTTTCAGGCATTCCTTTGATATATTGAGATGTCTTGTAAGACAGATTTCTTCCTTCTTTTGTAGCACATGCATACCACTTGGCTAAACAGTCATTTCATACAGCCAAACCAGACCGTATTGTTGGTAGAGAAGTAGAGACTGAAACCGTGAATCAGTTTGTCAGAGGTCATGTGACAAAGAAAGCAGGTGGAAGTTTATACATATCAGGGGCACCGGGAACAGGGAAAACAGCTGTGCTTACCCATATACTGGATAATGTTAGAGTATGTATCACTGTTAATATGTGAAAATATGTTGGACAGATACAAAAACATAATCTATAGGACAGTCAGGGGACTTTGAAATAAGTGATTTTTAAATCACTTATTTAAGTAGCAAATTCAAAGTTTTGTCACAAATTGTGATTTTGTAGTTTTACCAAAATTTTAAACACATAGGTTTAGATAATATCTTTTCATTAGTAAAATTGAAAAGAATGAACTTTTTGCTTCTTTGAAGCAGCAAGGTTTATGCCTTTGATGCAATCATTTAGCTGCAAATTCTATTTTAGTTGAAAAAATGCTATAAAAATGGCTTTACATAATGAACTGATACTTTCTTAACAGATTTTTTCCAGCAGTGGGAGTATTATTCCTGTAAAATTCAAGGTTTCATCTTATAGATTATGTAATAAAATTCTACTGTTCGCCATCAAAATTTCACTGTTCGGGGGTGTTGAAATTAGTGGGGGTTATTAAAATAATGATACTTAAAGAAGTGATTTTTTGGAAGGAAATTGAGGTATGAGACTTAAATAAACAAGTGATTTTTATGTCATTATCCTAGATTTAGTACAAGGTCATCACCTGACATGACCTGGTCAACACAGATGTTGGTTCTGATAATTTTAGCAACATGATTAGTCCCTGATATGACTATAAACCCAAAAGTTGCATCAGATCATTAGTATTCTATATTTAAAGCTACAATAAAATTAAATCACTTAGTCTAGTGATTAATTTGTACTACTTAAATAGGTGATTATTAAAGAAAGACAACTCTTACTTCCAACCTTTATGGACATAATGTTAAATGAGTGATTTTCTAAATCACTCATTTAAGTAACAGTGTTCTCCCCAGGATTTTTGGTTAGCACCAGGGTAACGCGTGTGGACTTATTGGTGAAATATTTCATGCAATCAGTTGTGTAGCGTCGCGTCGCTTAGCTCTAGTTACTGTAGTTTTTATGTCTCTTGTTTTGTTTTAATACTGTGGTACTGTGTTATGTAGACATTGATTCAGAAAATTATTGGTAAAAAAGAAGTACAGTAGACTCCGGCAAATCGGATACCGAAAATGTCAGCTAAAAATATCCGATTACCCGATATATTCAATTAGACGATGAATGTATATTCATTGAATATTCTGCAATAATGAGTAGATATAATCCTGAGGTGTTACTAACCCTGACAATTGCTAAATATGTGAAAGGGCTGGAGGATTGATGGAGTGATTTTTATCAGTTACATCACCACGATGTTTGTGTAAAAAATTATCAGCTGATTATGTAATGATTAAATTTGTTTGCAGTTTTTAAATCCTTTATTTATTAAATTAAATCAAATGTCCTGAAATATTTATGTGAATTATTATCTACCATCCATAGTTTGTCTTTATTTGTTTTGTAAGCAAATTAATATCCATTATTTACATTATCACACAGGTAAACTAATTTGGCTATAAATAGATCTAAGCATGTCCGTGTAGAATCTCCAAACTAAAATCGTATTTGTTATAATTTTATTTCTTTAAATAATCAAATTTAAATTTATGAAAATAATCATGATTGATAAAATATTATTGCATAAAGTTTACGTTTTCTGAAGACTATTTATATTTAGGTCATAGTTCTAGAGGCTTCCTCTCAAATTTGTAAACAACCAAAATGGCGTCCATGACATGTGGTTACTTTTGCACATGTGAAAAAAATATATCTGACAAAAGTCAGATTTCTCGTTTCAAAAGGGAATTTATATTTATATTGCAATAAATTATTCAGAAGGAGGTACATTCAGTTTAGATTATATTTCTGATTCTGTGAACATTTAGAGTTTAATCAAAATTCTCCAAACAGCAACGTCATTGTTTTCAACTGAGTCTTGCATATTTTATAAATAAATTCAAACCATTTGAAGTAAAAGGGCATCTAATTCATATGACAAAGGAAGACAATGATTAAAGACAACAATTTATTAAGAAACAGTTCCTTTTATTAAGTAAAAACAAAATCTTCTTGTCTGCAAGATTGTAAATTCGTAACTTCCGGGTCCATTTCCTGTCAGAAAAACATTGAAAATATCCGATTGTGCATGGTTTTGAACAAAATGACCTGAATATTCTTATCCGATTTACCGATATATTCTTATATCCGATATTCGATTACACGATAAAATTAACATTAAACATATAGGGAAGGGTTTGGTGTTTTGAAATAATATTACAATAGCCGATATATTCGTTTAGCCGATATCCGATTAGGTGGAGTCTACTGTAAATCAAAAAACAGTTTGTATACTTTAATATTTTTTTAAAATAAATAAATTATGATTCATAATAAAATATTCATCTGAATTTAAAGTAATTAAATCTTTTATAAAATCCAAAATCAATAAAAATAAAATAGCATTCAAAAGAGAACAAAAATGTTCAATTTAAAAATCTTTCTAGTATCTAGAAAAAAAAGTTGTTGTATGTGAAAGGATTCCTGTCATAAGAAGATATAAAATTAACAAGAACAATTGCAAATATTGTTTTATTATTTGAACCAGTTTCTATCTTAGATTTTCATAAAAAGAAATTTTTCATAAATTTTAGAACATTTTGCCATAGATTTCATGTAAATATTAACCTTTCTTGTCTTTGGTGATAATCAAACATAGATACAGACTTAATACTGCCCTAAAATCTAAATCTTTATTTGTCATGAACCATTTAAAAAGAATTCCTAAATCTATAAATTTATCTTTGGTCTATAGATCTATAAGTAACCATATTCAATGTCAACAACTAAGTCTCCCTATTTTCCGGCCTAAATGACAGGAAGTAGATATAAATAGATTTAACATGTGCTTATGGATAAAATTTGCAAGATTACTTCTGTTATTCATTAATTATGGATATAGATATCCAGTTTGAAGGTACAGTCATGCATTTTATTTATAAAATATAATAGATTGCAATTAATTGTAAATAAACTTGAATATTCTACATGAACTAACTGGGTCATGTGATATGTACAGACAGATACTACAGTTTGAAACCCGACTATCATGCAATTAGTATGTCATAATTAAAGATAATATTGGCCATGGTTTAATCAGAGACATATAATACTATAATATAAAAATTGGGAAATGTATAGTTGTCCATTATACGTAAGGAGCCACCATTATGATGTACAAAAAATGTACCATTCGGGTCAAGACACTGTTTGCGTACAAAGTATTTGCCGACTTGTCACAGGTCAGTGCTTGGGTGGAGAGTGAAGCCATAAAATAGTTATCTGTGATTATAAAGTTATGAACTCTTAATTAAAACACAAAAGAATCATGTTACAAGTGTTAATTACATCGATTAAATCCAATCAACAAGGTTAACCTCATAAGGTAAATCGATCACGTGGTGTAAACAATCTGTGTTGAACTGGTTTGAACTGGTCAAATTTCACCTGGAATTTTATACCGCACGGAAAAGATATAACAAGTCGTTTAAAACTTGACCGATTTACGATTTTTTAACTGAAAATTTTAGCCCCATGGAGAAAAATTATACATCACGGTAAGAACGATACCACCACGGTAAAAAATTATACATCGCGGTCCTTTAAGGGCCTGGGGAGAACACTGAGTAAGTCCCCTGACTGTAGGACAACCGGTTCTATAAGCTACCAATATATTCTTCTTTTTCTTTAAATTCTTGTCCTGACAATGTTCCCTACAACTTTCTAGTTATAAAGTTTGTGGTTTTAGATTGTCAGATTTTAAGTCAGCATGTCGATCATGATGTTGTGAACTACTTCACCAATTCAGATCAAAGTCTGTGGATCAAACAACTTGCTTGTATATCTTTGGTGGTTTTGAGGGTTCAAACAGTTATTGAAAATCAATCACAGATTTTATGGTTTAATATATGTTTTATGATAATGGTTACAATAACAAAGCTAAGAAATGAATTTAGCAAAGTGTCAGAGGTGTATATAACTGTTCAGCATCACTTTTAGTGGTTCATGATTAAATTGGAAAACAATTAAACAAGACATTTCCTTGGTCAGTGAATCATGAAATATGGTTCCAACCCTAATTGGGCATAAGTTTCAAATCATAATGAACAAATTTCAATTTGATGTGACCATAACTTCAGGAGAGACTACCTGAAACTAGAACTTTAACCTCATATGAGACAGACTGGAAATAAAATAACTTGACTATCATACAAGTGGAATAAAAAAAAATTTCTCAAGTTTGCACCCATATACTATAACATAACATCTGATGACCACACAACAAATACACAAGTGTTGCATGCATACAAAACAACAACAATAACACATCAGTCATGTCAGAGACATTAGACATAAGCTACCAATATTTTATTCTTTATGAAAAACACTTTAATTTCAAAATTGTATTTTAGTTTTATTCTTTAAATGATAACCCTTCACAGAAAACTTCATCAATTCCATTTGTTATTTCTATTGTTAGGCTGCTCATAGCTGTAAATCTGTATATTTAAACTGTATGTCATTGAGAGACTCAGCAACAGTGTATGGTAAATTATATACAGATCTTACAGGAAAGTCACCACCATCAGCTAAAGACAGGCTACGTGCAGTAGAGAAATACCTCACCACGACTGGACCAAGCATGTAAGTTCTTTTTCTCCATTTATACCATATAGTTTAAATGTTCCTATCACATCTTCTTGTTCTTTCTTGTCCTGACAATGTTCCCTACAACTTTCTAGTTATAAAGTTTGTGGTTTTAGATTGTCAGATATTAAGTCAGCATGTCGATCATGATGTTGTGAACTACTTCACCCGCCTCAGATCAAAGTCTGTGGATTAAACAACTTGCTTGTATATCTTTGGTGGTTTTGCGGGTTCAAACAGTTATTTAAATAAGACTACACATTCTATGGTTATATGACTTATGATAACATTTACATTAACAAAGTTTAGAAATTAATCCAGCAAAGTGACAGTTGTGTATATAATTGTTCAGGTTCACTTTGAGTGTCTAATAAAAATTGAAAAATTAATTTGAATCATAGTATGTACAATGTTTTGGAATCAAAGCAATGCAATAGAGAAATTAAATGATGGAGTTGTCTTATGCATTCAATTTTATTGTATAAGTATTAAACATTGTTAATATACAAATAGCTGAAAAATGTGATGTTGTTATGTCTGCAGATCAGCTAATTATTTTTCTTGGTCACCATATCAATTTATTTCTTTAAAAGAGAGAAATGGGACATGCATCAAAAGATCACACGTAATAAATATAAACAATACACTGCATTGTTATTACAGTATTATGGTTTTGGATGAGATTGATCAACTCGACAGTAAAAATCAAGAAATACTATACACAATCTTCGAGTGGCCATCATTACAGAAATCCAGACTTGTATTGATTGGTATAGCCAATGCTTTAGATCTAACAGATAGGATATTGCCACGGTTACAGGCTAGACCTAACTGTAAACCGCAACTCTTAAACTTTGCTCCATACAGCAAAGACCAGATTGCAAATATTATTAAAGATAGATTAAAAAAGGTATGTAAAAATAAACTGCAATAGTTTAGATGTAGTCTTATTCAAGTATCTCATTATTAAAATTCCATACAGTTTTGTAAGGAAATAGCTTTTATCATTGCTTTACAATGTTAATGTCCTTTCATTAGGAAATAAAAATGTATTCATTAGGATTAATTAAATTCCCAAAGTTTGTATAGAGTATTTTTATGTGTTCAATGCTAATAAGTTTATCACAAAAAAATTTGATATTTGCAGATAGAGGAACAGGGTTTGGCAGTTATGGAACCAAGTGCTATACAGTTCTGTGCCCGTAAAATATCAGCAGTGGCTGGGGACATGAGAAAGGCTCTTGATGTATGTCGCCGTGCCGTAGAACTTGTGGAACATGAAGTGAAAACACAGAAGGTCTTGTCTAGTCCTACAAAACGACCACCAGCAGTACCAAAAAAGATTGGTGTAGTCCAGATCAACAAAGTTTTATCAGAGGTATATGGCTCCAGTTCTGTATCCAACAGTCAAGACAGCATTCCATTGCAACAGAAACTAATAGTTTGTACACTGCTGTTGATGGTTAAACAAGGCAAGATGAAGGAGGTCACAATGGGCAAGGTAGGTTGATTAAAGGCAAAAGTTATATTATATTCTTGAGGATAGGTAAAGAAGGCAAGATAAAGGAGATTACAATGAGCAAAGTAGTTTGAATTAAAGTAAAAAATGAAAAAAAGCATTCCTTATTACGAAAAAAGAAAAAGATATGCAAGTTTGAGCAGAGATGATAAAAACTTCTTTACACAAGACAAGTAATGCAGTGTTCTCCCCAGAATTTTCAAATAGCACCATGGAAAGTAACATAGTACAGGTTTTCCAAAAAATATAGCACCATGGCTCCTATACATTCTGTTATAAAGTCATCCAAGATAGCACCATGGCTCCTATACATTCTGTTATAAAGTCATCCAAGATAGCACCATGGCTCCTATACATTCTGTTATAAAGTCATCCAAGATAGCACCATGGCTCCTATACATTCTGTTATAAAGTCATCCAAGATAGCACCATGGTACCACAGTGCTTTAAGGCCCTGGGGAGAACACTGTAATGTGTTAATAAGTCAAATTTACCAATCAGAAATTTTGGTGTTCAACAAAAGCAATCTTCTAATAAATATGTATGTAGAAATTTTCCACTAAAATTCAAACACAAAACCCTAGTATTTCTAAAATGTACATATTTTTCTTTTTGTCCTGACAATGTTCCCTACAACTTTCTAGTTATAAAGTTTGTGGTTTTAGATTGTCAGATATTAAGTCAGCATGTCGATCATGCTGTTATGAACTACTTCACCCGCCTTAGATCAAAGGTTGTGGAACTTACAACTTGCTTGTATATCTTTGGTGGTTTTGCGGGTTCACACAGTTATTAAAAATAGATCACATTTTAAGGTAATAAGATAACAATTATAATCACAATTGAGTTTAGAAATGAAGCAAGCAAAGTGTCAATAGTGTTCAGCATCACCCTTAGTGTTTAATAATTTTTGATAGATATATGTTGGAGCACATTGTTATAATTGTGTATAGTGTTTTGGAAAAACAAACAAAATGAAGTCTTGTGCTTTTTATTTTAAAACACTGAAAATTGTTAATTTGCAGAAAGTTGGGAATGGGACGATGGACAATTTATCTTTCCAGGAGAATATGTATTTAATAATTATGAAATGTTTTGTATCTGTTTTATATTTTAATTTATAGGTCCATGATACATACTGTAAAATATGCAAGAAAAGACAGATGGCAATAGTTGATTACACAGAATACCAGGGCATTTGTAATCTGCTGGAAACCAGAGGAATTATGGGTATTAAGAAAATTAAAGATGGACGTCTAGCAAAGGTTTGTTTATGAAATCCACATAAGACAATTTATGAAATTTAAAACAATGTCACTAATATTCATAAATAGAAAATCTAGTTTTCACCATTAATTATTTCATTTGACCTGAATCTACTTTTCACAAAGATTCTCCCAGAATGGAAATATTGAATTAAAATAACCATATAATAAAAGAAAGTTTTACACATAAATCCAGGTAAAAAAGCCCATTATTATAAAAAAAGGTAATGTTATATTGTTTTAAAGTTGTATGAACATTGATTTTATAAATTTGAAATGGCTTTAAGCATCATGTAGACATATATTTATTATTGAGTTACTAATAATAGTTCCATATAACTTTTAACAAGGAGAAAAAAAAATTATTGTACTGTTAAAACACTTTTTAACCTTTTGATTTAATATCGTATGATATATTTCATTTTACAGATTTTAGATTATTTATTTATTTGCAGATTGTGTTGAAACTTGATGAAAGAGAACTGGATCATACTTTACAAGATAAAATTTTAATGTCATCAATAATGAAAGATGGACTTCCATGATATATCCCACAATGCATTTGATGTACAGGATTAAATGTCCACAATGATATTGTAAAAAGAGATTCAATAGAGGAATCGGCTTAGAAGAAAATCCATGGTAGATGTTCTCTGAACAGGAACATTTATAATGCTTATTTTGTTATAATTGACTTAAATGAAGAAAAATGCAAAAAAATAGTACAAACAAAAAATAGTTTTACCATAAAAATTGCAAAAAGTTCAAACAAAATGAAATAGTAGTAGTAATAGATGAAATTCAAGGCACACTTGATGCATGTGTCTTATAAACTGATGTACCAAAATATATAAGAATTTTTAGAAATTCCTTTTTATGGATGTAGAATTCCTTATGCTTACAATTGCACTTTACTTTATATTATGAAGTTCACTCCATTTTATAACTTACAATTCAAGCTAAACCATTTCTAAATGATGCAAGTCGTGTCTAGATTATGCATATGCAAAATGTGAATTGCTATAACATTGCAATCATTTGTGAAACATTATAGTACATTTCTTTTTTTCTTTTTTATACAAGAGATATATGTAGTTTGTATGATTGGTATAATTCCATTTTTGAATATCTGATTTTAATGAAAAAGCTGCAACTGCTTTAAATCTAAGGAAAATTTTTATTTTAAGGATGTGCCAATTCTTGTGACCAGATATTTGGTTTAAGAGTCATTTTGAGCTTTCATTTGATTGTTATACTTTGTATATTTGATCCAAAGTGAATTTAAACTGATAGTACTAATTTTTTGTAAAGTGAGAGACTTTTGAAGACCAAGCAAGATTTATTGTTCTCTACGCTTGCACCTCACAATTAGAATTAAAGTCTGTAAGAATGACATCTTGGTCCGATGTGTTGAAAATTAATACTTTTGACATGAATGCTTTTGTCTCTATTGTTCAGAGAAGAAAAATTATTATCACATTTTGGGCAATACTTGTTTAAAACTATTTAAAAAATGAAAAAAAAAACATCTTTCATACCTATATTTTTAGGCATAAAGTTTTAGATAAAATTGTACATTCCCAAGTATGTTATTGATCTTCATATCATTTACAATAATGTTGGTGTCCTGTATTTAGTGAAATGGTTAAGTTCTGAAAATTCTTGGATTTTTTTGGCATAACATTTATTGCCATGAGAAAAAAACACTTTTGAAAAGTCTTTGGCATTGTAAATGAGAGAATTGTGTATTTGAAAATGTACATGTATATGTATGTTTGAATATGAATATTTATTTGAAATGAATGTAATTTTTAAGGAATAGAGATTGATTTTGTGTAAGTGGTTTTGTGAGGAAAGAATCATGTATTTGAATTTATTTAAGTATGACTTGTAATTTTAGTACATGTTATTATTTATAAATTGTTAATTGGGAAGTAGTTTGTATTTGAAATATGTGTATTGTCTGTATAGAAAATAAGTAAACATGACTGTTTGATACAAGTATTTATTAAGAGTAGCTTCACAGAAGAAACTATTGTTTTCAGAATGAATGGTGATAAAATTGAGTTTGAAATACTTAAAAATAGTAATGATGCCATGTGATAGAGTGAAATAATTTTACATTGTATGCAAGGAATTTAATGATTCTTATCATAGATTTTTTTTTAATTATTCAAGTCATTTATATTATATTTAACATGTTTAAAGATACAAATTAATTTTTACCACCGTTTGACCATTGATGGATCAAGGGTTGTTTCATTAATTAATTAATGGAATTGAAAATTAACATTAGATCACTTTTTCAACTTCTAAAAAAAACAATTTCTATCTTAACAATAGAAAGTGCTGTTCAATTGTAAATGAATGAATTTTTTATTCAAGTCTGCTGTTGATTTTGAAATATAGGTAAAAAAGGTGAGAATTGCCCAATATAAATGTATACTGAAGATTTATAGAGAACATTCCTTAAATTGTCAAAACTGTAAGTCGGGTTTGATAGGCGGATTTTACTATTATTCATTCTGTATATTTCAAAATGAAAAAATAATTTATTTTTCTCTTTCAATATAAAGTATTAATGAACGGTATATGATTGATTTAATCGTGAACTGTTGAAAGAAATGATTTAGCAAATGGTATTTGATCAGTTTCAAAATAAGGGAAAAATAACTATGAATTGGAGTAACATCATGCATCAGTTTTCCTATTTCTGATAAACAGACCTATGTGTTATCTAAATCCTCAGTATACCTACTGTGTAATATCAACCTTGAAATTCAGAGTCGGTGGTTATTATTAGATGAACCAATTTGATATCGGGACTTCTCGAAAATAGCACAAATAACAATAATTATACAGTATTGGTTTGTCTGATTGTTTCATTTTTATATGACTGTATTAAATCAGTTTTTCTATTTTCTGTATAATGTAATTTTTAAATTGAATTGAATTTTTATTAATCAATTTTAATGTTAAATCAGGTGAATTGTTAAAATAAAATTGTTGAATTAATGTTTTTTGTTGCTTTATATAATTAATATGGTAGAACTATTTAAATAGTTGTTTAAAATGCTATTACAAAACTTGTGGAAATAAGTAAAGCAGAAATAGTGATAAAAAGAGATTTGATTGAGAGAACATCATTGAGAATGCAGTCAAATTAAAAGTTTACCAACAAAATTTGAGGTCACCTAACAGTGCAGTTGTCTCGTTAGCCCAAAATAGAAGGGCGCCGCGCCCTGTGTGCCCTCAGCCGCGCCCTTCTGCCCTGACGCCTTTTTCCCCAAAACCCTTGTGCCGTTTTGGTAAAATTGCCTTTTGTTTCATCGATTTCTTATCACAAAGTTAATAACATATATGACACCAGGTGATTGCACCCAGGTTAATCATGTCATTACAATCAATTACAGTGGATAAGACTTCAAAGGTGTTTATAACTAGGTAATTTAATTAAGACAATGTATCTTTTTGTCATAAATTTGATGTGTCAGCGAGTGTTTTTAGCTGAGTGTTTTTAGCTTGGGTTGGCATTTTCGATCTCCAAGAAGAGTGTATAAATGAAGACTTTCATGACTTTAGAATAGAATTTAAGTCATCAAAATACAACTATGCCTTCACAGAAATGCTGTCCATCTCAACTTGTGAGCGACAAGCAAACAGTAAACGTGTTAGAAATTAATTGTGGAGTTACTTCCCCTGTTTTAGCTTATTACAAATTTGTGCTCCTAAAATATTATCTAGTATTAAAAATAGGAATAAATTACCAATTGAATACAAAATTATATAAGAATGTTACCTTAAGGATATTAACTGTCTTTGAACATACCAAAAAAAATATATTGCAATTTATTTTTGATAATCATACTTTTAGCAAAACATGTTCTATACATTGTCAATTAAGAAATTTAAAAGATCAATTGTTATGATAATGTTAAGCTGCAATCCTACATAAATGGGCTGTGTGAAGTTAAACTATCATGACATCAACTTGATGAAACTTTACTAAATAATTCCTTAACACAAACAATGAAAAAAGTTTAGAGGGCCAAACTCTAGCTGAGAATTTTGAAATAAGACAACTCTGTCACATGTATGCTTAACTATGAGATGTTTAGTTTATGTTGTTTTTTTCGGAAAAGGGGGTGAGAATAGTTAGTTAATTTGCCTCTATTGGTTTATAGTGATGTGATGTATGAATGTGTATTGACATGTTTTATGAACATGTCCTATGAATTACATTTTCTAATGCAAATTTTATAGAATAAATAATCAAAACAACAACTTATACATCTTTATTAACAACATATACAGTAAAAAAAAATGTGAACTCGTAATACACACAGAAACGTAGACAAAAGAAATGAGCAGTGCCTTTTCCTTTCATAAAAAAGTGCCCTGCCCTCCACTGGCACCCTGCCCCTTTTGATTTCTAGCTGGAGCACTGCAGTGTAAAATGATGAACAATTGCCCACTCAGATTAAAATCATTCCTTTACTAATAGCAAAGGAATATTAATAATGACTTAAAAACTGATATTATTAATAATAAGTTTGAAATCAACAAAAGAATTTTCAAACCGGCACATAAATGTGGGGTTATAAGTTTATTTTCAGATCCCTCTAAAAATGTGTTTGAATCATTTTGGATACCTTAACTATTAAATGTATTTGAATCATTTTGGATACCTTAACTATTAGGATCTCTAAATGTTCTATTTTCATTTGAATAATTGTTGGACAGATCAAGCCTAAAAATAAACTATACACTTGATAATTTTTGTTGTGTCTCAACAAATTTGGGGAAGTGGGACTGAGTTGTGCTGTTTCTGACAGTATCAAAGTCAACTTTGTTTGTAATTACGTCAGTTTAAGGAGAACCACTAGTGGAAGGTTTATGATATGCTCATCACACATTTTTGTAATAACTTTCATTAGGTACGTGTAATGCAGAAAGATTGGACCCGGAGAATAGCCCTCAAGAATCCTTGTAACCAATCCATATACAAAATTTTATTGAATTGTACATACTGGTAGTTAATGAAAACCATTGAAAATTTAGCCCTGGCCAGTGAAGTATGAAAATGAGGTCAGGCCATATATCACTTGTCAGAAAGACATAAACTGCTCACAACATACACAAACCAAAAGTTGTTGACCTGTCATGTTCAGTTGCAGAAAAATGACCCTCATGCAGAAAATTTAACAGTACTTCTCATACATGGCCTTCATTAAAATTTTCTTTTATCTTAGGTGAATGTTTGGATATTGAGGTATTTGCAAACTATTAATGCATGCAACTGCCAAGAAAAGTAAATCTTATATTTTCACTCTGAAACTTAAGTCGCATGAGACCAAACAAATCCTTAACAACTCTTTAAGGACACTGCATAATTGAGAATAACTTACTATTACACCACTGTCCCAGGTTAGGAGGATTGTTGAACGCTCACAAACATGTTTTACCCTACCATATATATTCTTTATGAACCTATCCCAAGTCAGGAGACATTGATTCAATGGTTGTCTTGGTTACCACCTGTCAATTGTTTTCGTTTATTGTTTTGTCATAAATCAGGCGGTTGGTTTTCTCATTTCAGTTGTTTAACATTTTGTCATGTCATGGCCTTTTATGGTTGACTTTACGGTACAAGTTTTGCTCATTGTTGAAGGCCATACAGTGACCTATAAATGCTTTCATCCACTTCACTTTGACTGGTAGATCCTAGATAGTTGTCTCAGGCAATCCCATCACATCTCCTTATTTTCATACTTACTGAACCATTTCATTAATAAGAGACAAGAACAGAATTTTCAAAAGTTCAAAAATATTTAAAAAAATTCTAATAAAATATTTCGTGGAGGGGCAGACTAAACATTTTCAGAGGTTGAAGACTAATTACCCTAGATAACACACACAAAAGTTGAAGTTATTTTGAAGTTATGCATTTTTAAGATCTGTCAAGTACTTTTATTCAAACACACCTACTCTGTTGTTATGACTCACTTGAAAGGTATTTCACTTGACCCATATATTTCATTTTTTGGTACTGTAAATTTTTAATGTTATTATATCAACCTAGAGCCTAAATATATAAAAATAATAGAATTTGAAGCGAGATGATGTATCAAATATTTTTCTTTAATACGTTTTCAAGACAGAATTCGAATGGTCAACTCAAACACTCCTGAACATAAAGAGGTGTACTAGACTTTCTCTTTACGATGAAATTATTGCCCATTTTGGGGATTTTTTCCCAAAAAACTGTCGCCGGGGGCAGAGATGCAAATTAATGCTTTAAAAAGATCAATCTATTATCTTTCTTTGGATTTTTTTTCAACAGAATTTATGCTTATGCACAAAAAAAGATCCACATGTATTTGCACCTACCACAATCGACTGTTTTTTGTAAATTTGTCTATAATTTAAAAGTTTACAAAAATATCCAAGCTCAAAACCACCATTCAAGTAAAAACACATACATAAGATGCATAAAATCCTAAATTAAAGAACCTTAGTGAGCGTGCTCACATACCCCACGTCCCCACATTGTCACTGGAGAAATAAAAAAACTAAGAAAATACTAGAGGTATATTGAAGCAAATAAGTTCAAAGGGGCGCAACTCCTAGAAAAAAAATTGAATCGTAATTTCCTGTCGATATGCACATCTACGTAGTATGTCCTTATTATCTGAAAAGGTTTCATGAAATTCTGTTGTATGGTTTGAGAGGAGTTGCAATGACAAAAGGTTGCAGTAGTATATTGGGCAAATAAGTTCAAAGGGGCGTAACTCCTGGAAAAATAATTGAATCTTTATTTCCTGTCGATATGCACATCTACGTAGTATGTCATTATCTAAAAAGTTTCATGAATTTTGTTGTGTGGTTTCAGAGGAGTTGAGATGACAAACTGTTGCAGTAGTACATTAAAGTAAATAAGTTAAAAGGGGTGTAACTCCTAGAAAAAAAATTGAATCATAATTTCCTGTTGATATGCACAACTACATAGTATGTCCTTATTATCTAAAAAGGTTTCAAGGAATTCTGTTGTATGGTTTGAGAGGAGTTGCGATGACAAAATGTTGCAGTAGTATATTGGGCAAATAAGTTCAAAGGGGCGTAACTCCTGGAAAAAAAATTGAATCGTTATTTCCTGTCGATATGCACATCTACGTAGTATGTCCTTATTATCTACAAAGTTTCATGAAATTCTGTTGTGTGGTTTCAGAGGAGTTGCGATGACAAACTGTTATAGAGGTATATTGAAGCAAATAAGTTCAAAGGGGCGCAACTCCTAGAAAAAAAATTGAATCGTAATTTCCTGTCGATATGCACATCTACGTGGTATGTCCTTATTATCTGAAAAGGTTTCATGAAATTCTGTTGTATGGTTTGAGAGGAGTTGCAATGACAAAAGGTTGCAGTAGTATATTGGGCAAATAAGTTCAAAGGAGCGCAACTCCTGGAAAAAAATTGAATCGTTATTTCCTGTCGATATGCACATCTACGTAGTATGTCATTATCTACAAAGTTTCATGAAATTTGTTGTGTGGTTTCAGAGGAGTTGAGATGACAAACTGTTGCAGTAGTACATTAAAGTAAATAAGTTCAAAGGGGTGTAACTCCTAGAAAAAAAATTGAATCATAATTTCCTGTCGATATGCACAACTACATAGTATGTCCTTATTATCTAAAAAGGTTTCAAGGAATTCTGTTGTATGGTTTGAGAGGAGTTGCGATGACAAAAGGTTGCAGTAGTATATTGGGCAAATAAGTTCAAAGGGGCGTAACTCCTGGAAAAAAAATTGAATCGTTATTTCCTGTCGATATGCACATCTACGTAGTATGTCCTTATTATCTACAAAGTTTCATGAAATTTGTTGTGTGGTTTCAGAGGAGTTGAGATGACAAACTGTTGCAGTAGTACATTAAAGTAAATAAGTTCAAAGGGGTGTAACTCCTAGAAAAAAAATTGAATCATAATTTCCTGTCGATATGCACAACTACATAGTATGTCCTTATTATCTAAAAAGGTTTCAAGGAATTCTGTTGTATGGTTTGAGAGGAGTTGCGATGACAAAAGGTTGCAGTAGTATATTGGGCAAATAAGTTCAAAGGGGCGTAACTCCTGGAAAAAAAATTGAATCGTTATTTCCTGTCGATATGCACATCTACGTAGTATGTCCTTATTATCTACAAAGTTTCATGAAATTTGTTGTGTGGTTTCAGAGGAGTTGAGATGACAAACTGTTGCAGTAGTACATTAAAGTAAATAAGTTCAAAGGGGTGTAACTCCTAGAAAAAAAATTGAATCATAATTTCCTGTCGATATGCACAACTACATAGTATGTCCTTATTATCTAAAAAGGTTTCAAGGAATTCTGTTGTATGGTTTGAGAGGAGTTGCGATGACAAAAGGTTGCAGTAGTATATTGGGCAAATAAGTTCAAAGGGGCGTAACTCCTGGAAAAAAAATTGAATCGTTATTTCCTGTCGATATGCACATCTACGTAGTATGTCCTTATTATCTACAAAGTTTCATGAAATTTGTTGTGTGGTTTCAGAGGAGTTGAGATGACAAACTGTTGCAGTAGTACATTAAAGTAAATAAGTTCAAAGGGGTGTAACTCCTAGAAAAAAAATTGAATCATAATTTCCTGTCGATATGCACAACTACATAGTATGTCCTTATTATCTAAAAAGGTTTCAAGGAATTCTGTTGTATGGTTTGAGAGGAGTTGCGATGACAAAAGGTTGCAGTAGTATATTGGGCAAATAAGTTCAAAGGGGCGTAACTCCTGGAAAAAAAATTGAATCGTTATTTCCTGTCGATATGCACATCTACGTAGTATGTCCTTATTATCTACAAAGTTTCATGAAATTTGTTGTGTGGTTTCAGAGGGGAGTTGAGATGACAAACTGTTGCAGTAGTACATTAAAGTAAATAAGTTCAAAGGGGTGTAACTCCTAGAAAAATCAAAGCACCAAAGGCGCTATAGGCAGTTAATAAAAAAAAATCAAAGGTAAACTTGGCAGAAGTTAAGATGAATATAGTGGAAGAATGGATGAAAATATTTTTCTCTAATTCTTCGTCAATTTATCCCTTTCTGCACCCATTGTATAAAAAAAATTTAATCAACGTGTGGTTCGTTTGATCTCAGTTCTTCATAGGTTAAAATCCGATTATGACGTCAAATTTACTTGCTTTCCTCTGAATTTCCTATTGTGACGGCATGAAATAAGGCGACCATGCCTGATGACGTCACATAGAAAGAACACATCTT